CGATGTGCTCATAAAAGACAACAAAGACATTACTTTGGAGTTCGAAACGTACTATAACAGTTTATTTAGCTCTCCCTCTGATGATCTTGACACTCACATCAAGGCTAGTTTTGTTTCTCTTGTGAACCCCTTGAAGGACAATGATTGTGCAGTCATGAATGGGCCCATTACTATACAGGAAATTGAGCAAGCAATCGACAACTTGCCTTTATTGAAAACACCGGGCCCTGATGGCATCTCAGGGGAATTTTACAAAGCTTACGAGAAAACACTTGCTCCTATATTGCTGAATATTTTTCAGATGAGTTATGACATGGATACACTCCCACAATCTTTTTGCAAAAGCCACACTGTGTTAATACCGAAAACAACTGACAAGGAAAAACTTGGCTTCGTCGAGGGCTACAGACCAATATCGCTGTCAAACGTGGACTACAAAATTTTTGCAAAAGTATTAGCAAATAGGTTGCAATTTGCTATGTCGATCCTCATTGGGTCTCATCAGACATGTGGGATCAGAGGTCGATCCATACAAACCAATATACATGTCGCTCGAACAGTGCTTTAATACTGTCATGGTTCTCAAAAACATCTTGCAATGCTACAGGTAGACCTTGCAAAAGCTTTTGATCGTGTTCGTCATTCCTTCCTTTTTTCTCTTCTCGAACAAGCTAATGTTGACAAAGTTGTTCCTAAGGGCGTTAAACTATGCTATAATGAATGCTCAACTCGTCTGATAGTTAATGGTCAACTCTCCAAGCCAGTTTCTATTCGCTCTTCTGTAAAACAGGGATGCCCGATGTCACCTCTTTTATTTGCACTTTATCTAGAACCACTGTGCTTAAGCATAATACAGTCGAGTTGCATTCGTGGCTTTAGTATATTAGGCTGTGAAGTATTGGCTTATGCAGATGATGTCGCATTCTTTTGCACAGATAAACCAAGTGTCGAAAATGTGGTATATACTAGTGAAAAGTTTGGCGTAGTATCGGGAGCTCGTTTAAATGCCTCTAAAAGTTTAGGACTGTGGTTTGGCTTGTGGGGTAGCACACCGAACCACTTTGCAGGGATTAATTGGACAAGAACTCCTCCAACATACCTCGGTGTACCATTGCATGCATATAGATTCAGTGCGCATTAATGGAAGGAACGCGTCCCTAAGCTTGAACGACAGGCCCAGACATTTGTTCCCTATCGACTTTCGATATTTGGGAGAGCTGAAGCTTGCAACACTTTCTTAGCAACAAAGCTTTACTATGTATTGCAACTTATTCATTGCGCAAGATTCTATATACAACGCTTTCATCGGATTTTCGCTACTTTCATATGGTCTTCGACTTTTGAGCCCATGCATCGTGATAATATATTCAAACCAGTTAGTGAGGGTGGGTTAGGACTAAAACACCTTTATCTATGGCAAATAGTGTCCCGATTCTTTTTTTTTTTTTTTTTCGAGACAATTTCCATACTGTAATCCGTTCCTTCTTGCAGGTTACACTTGTTGATTGCTTACCAGATTTAATTGTTTCATCGAACTTCTCCGAACGCCCATGCTTGTGGGGATTCATTCAGGACGTTTACCTCGCAGTTCAGTTCCTTAAAGCTCGCTTTTCTGTAGAATACCTGTACACAGTATCGCGCAAGGGGCTGTATAAGGACCTGCTGAGTACACTCTTCCCACCTCCATTGTACTGCTCACTGTACTCCAATTTTACAGGCCACGATGTGTTGAAGCGAGTGCGCAAAATGTACATTCCACCGAATTCAAAAACATTCTTCTATAAACTCCACTCTGAAACATTGGCGGTAAACACATGGTTAGAAAGAAAAGGTATTTTCATTCCGTCTGTTAACTGCCGTCTATGTGATGTGCCAAAAACGATTGAACATTGCTTTGTTAGCTGCGAAGATGCCATACTGTTTTGGGATGTCCTTCAGCGAGCACTGAAAAAACGTTTCGTCATTAATTCTCACACAATACGTTATCTTCTGCCAGCAGCGCTTGATGAAGTACCATATGATATGTTTTTTCTCATGGGTATGCACAGCTTGTGGAAGACACGAATGCAAGACCGCAATGCAGAGCCCACCACCTCTTCAAGTGCACACTTCATTCAAATGGCTATCCACCTAAAAAACATTTACGACGAGCTAGACTTTAGACTGGACTGCTACTCCGTCTTAGAGAACTGTTTGACCTCACCCCTTTTTTGTTTGTATAACACGATGTGAAGAACTCTTCATGTGAGGAACTCACGCTGTGTTAGCCATTTAGTGTTTATGAGTAACACTTGAGCGCTTACTTTGGCGATTTGATTGTACTTTTGTTCGCTTGATTTTGTCTTTATTGCCACAGCCACACCTCTGCTTGTGAAAACAGTGAAAAGAACTTCCTCTGCTTGGAAATGCAGTCAAAGTAACTTTCATGCTTCACAATCACACACATCCTGTATACTTGCTTCACAATGCAACGTGAAATATTGCAGTAATAATGCGTGGTACAAGCATCTGTTGCCAAAGGGCATCAGAATATGTGATTTTTATAATGGTTCCTTGGTTAAAAGCCGGTACCCCACTACAAATAGCACGCTAGCTGCTTCGCCTATTCCTTTAAAGCCTCGTAGTGGGTGCATAGCTAATTCGAAAAGGTTTCATGCACTAAGTGTTTATAGTATGCACTAGAAACAGGTTGCCACTATCGCATTCAACTTGTAAAGGCAAAGCTTTAGGGTTCCCAAATTATTTCTGCTATTTCTATTCCAGGAGCTCTTGAAGTCCTAATATGATATTTAGGACAAGTGCTTTCTAAGTTGTCTTTCTCTTGCATCCTATAGATTACCTAAGCCTCTTAACAGTTCTTTTTTTCAGTCTGGTGACTCCATTATGTCTTTTTTAAAGTGCAGCCAAAATAAGCTCTCTTTTGTATTCTTACTTTTCTAACTGCGTGATTTCTGCTACTGCTTACACTTTTATATTCACTTCAGTTTACTCTTCTGCCAAGGCGAATTGGGAAACAATTGACTTATTATGTGGGCATGCATTGAGTACGCATTTTGGTTATTGCTTGGTAAAGTGGCCAAATTGAGCTTGCACTATAATAATGAAAATAATTAGAAGCAATTTTAAAGATATTAGCACTGGAAAGGACTGGAGAATATTACTATACCAAATGGTCCATTTTTCCTATGAGCGTCCCAACATGTGGCAATTTTCCATTGGCACTCATTTTTTATTTTCTTAGATTAACAGTTAACTTGTTTTCTTTTTTAGGCTTCCATTTCTTTTCTTTTTTTTTTTTGCTTTTAATAATTGCCAGGCAATCGTGGCAAAAGGTGGCGGTAGCGTGAACAGCGGCATTGCCCTGCGATGATTTGTGCAATTATGCTGCCACGGGCTCTCTATTTTTTTTTTTTCATTTTAGTGTGATTGGGTTTAAACCGCAAAAACTTGCCACTGCATGGCGCGAGCAGCGCCATATTGTATTGTAAACTTCGAGGTTGTATCTGATTGTTCTGTTAAAATAACGAGCAGACCCTGCTGTGGCGGCCGCATTTCGTTGGCGGCAGAATGCTAGAGGCATGTGTAAGCTGCTTAGATTTGATTGCACATGAAAGAACACCACATGGTCAAACTTTCCGGAGCTCTGCACTATTGGGCCCCTCATAATCTTACCATGGTTTTGGGACGTAAAAATGCAACAATCACTATTAAGGTTACGCACAATATGCATATATTTTAGTTAATTCGTGATCTTATGCGAGCACCAGAAATAGCGGAAGTAGCGATCACTGATGTATAAATCCATCGATGACCAGATTACTGAAGGCCGACGAAACTTATTGCCGCGATCAGAGTACAACATGCTTTGTTTGTACTTTGAATTACATAGTTTTCTGGGCATAAGTTAGCGCAATAAAAAGTGCTGTGTCTACTAGAGTGACTGCCAGGTTCATAACACTACCACGGGACAGTACAATAGGTCTGAGGCGTTTCTCGGGTGCGCATGTTCTCTTGCTGAAGAAAAATTGATTTTACATGTATGAGTATATCGATAACTACCACTTTACACCAGCACATGAGAAGAATATGAAAAGTGGTTATAGTTTTACGTGCTCTATGTAAAGCTATGTATACAATGCACCACAAAAACATTGCTGCAGTGTTGTTTCTGCTTTAATACTGGTGATTCAGTAGTGTTAAATGGTGATTTATGGACAAGGTAAAACTGCACTATGGTATTTGTGCCATCGTGCGAAGGATTCTTATAGAAGCTCGTGTGGTTAGATGGCAACCCGCTAGCTAGTCGGCACGCTCACCAGTGACTCCGATCAACTACAGAAATGACAAGCAAGAATCGTTGTCAGTGAAGTGTCTATAGAGTTTTTTTATTAAGCAGTAAAACAAACCCTGATAAGCTCTTCAGAAGCAAACCAACTTCTAAACGTAAACCAAGAAGGAGAAAACTTTTGAGGTAGAAACAAATATTTAGTAAAATGAAATTGGCCTCATTTAAGAAAATTTCACGCAGTTACTTTGTGTATAGTTGTTCTGCTGCATTATGGGGATCTATAGCAACAAGTTTGCAAATGTATCGAAGTATCTTAAGATACAGTTAGCAAGTATTGTATTGGGTACATTTTCTGCGGTAATGTCTGTATCTCCAATACTTATTACCTCAGTGTCTTGTATCGTATCGGGATACAATTTCAAGATATCTTTGCCCAGTCCTGATTCAGGACAATAGAGAAAAATTGAAAAAAGAATGTTGTAAAGTGAAGTCAATAGGCAGCAATGAGTTCTTTTCCGACCATTTTTGACCTCACCATCACACTCCCTTCATTAGTGTGGTAGAAGACCACTGTGTTGAGAGTTGCAAGGCTGTGTGAAGCCTCCTCATGCAAACGCAAAAAAACACCATCGCTTCCTGACTTGTTTACGCTTGTGTTTCTCTTTAGGCTCTCAGTGGTGAAAAGAACCCATTTTATTTGTGTTTTTTGCAGAGAGAACAACCTGAGTAACATATTGAGTCCCTGCTTACATGGTATTGCACATGAGAACCTTGACGTACGAGTGCTAGCTTTGGGAAAACTGAAAAAAGTGCTTTCAGCTAATCAGGTAACTTATCATTATGTCCTTTTCACATTTGCTACTTGTATGCCATGCTTGCATTTCTAGCACGCTCTTGTCTTTCAACAGAGCAAGCTGGCAGAGCATCTGCTTACACGGGAGTCGGTGGATCCACTTGTTTCAAAGCTGATAGTTCAGGTGAGTGTGTAATGAAACTGCTGCAGTGTTAGCGTTTTTGTGTAAAACATCGTTGGTGCAAACTTGAAAGAAGATGAGAGAAGAAACTCGGAAAAGCGCACACTCGCAACTGACTTTTATTGAACCGAAGATCATCCTATAAAAACCCTCACGCATGCGTACAACCACACGTAAAGCCCGAACAACTATAATCACAACCTATCATATACAAAAGCAAATCAATTATCGTGCAATGACAGGGACGGAACACTGATACATTGTTCGCCAAACTGCCTAATATACATCGCCTCTGTGTATTCACGTGCCATTTTGTCTTTGCTTCTTCGCAAAATTCTCTTGCAGTGCAGTAGCGGTGCACAAGAGCACTCCTTACAATGATACGGCAAATGCGGACCCGTGCCGTTTCTCATTGACGGCGCATGTTCTCTTAAGTGATCGTTTGTGCATCGGCCTGACTGGCCAATGTGCACCTTGCCACAACTGAGCAGGATCAAGTGAGACAACACCTACCAAACAACTCAAAAACATCCTTTCGTGCTTCTTTACACAATCAGCACTTGGTACGCCACACGAACTAGCACAAATACGTGAAAGCCTCTGGGGTGCCGAGAATACGACAGGGACCTCAAAACAAGAGGCGAAGTTCTTCATTGAATGAGCCACTCTGTGTACATAGGGAATGACAACAATATGCTTCTGTGTTTTTTCCTTTGTGCCTGAATTGCCGGTGGCGTCATGTCGAAATTTTTGCAGCAAAGCTTAACATACTGATATTAACACTAATAAAGGAAAATCCGCAGACACGAGCCTGGAAATTTGCACCCTGAAACTTTCCTCAAGAATGTAGTGGCAAGACCTGGTAAGAGCCAACTGTAAGCTTGTACTATCAATGGCCCTTTTCACTACTTTTGAATTAGTGGAATGATACGCCAAAAAAGCCTTCTGAGCACGATAGTGATACACCCAACACACATGGTTTTTGTCAAGCATGAGATGAAGATCTAAAAACTGCAATTTGTCATTCATGGGAAGCTTGTGGGTAAACTTGAGCTCTTGTCCAAATGCTCTAAACTTATCTAAAACAGAAGTGACACATTCAGAGTAGGGTTCATCTGACTCCTTTTTCAAAAGAACCAAGAAATCATCCACATATCTGAAAACGCGTAACACCTTGTCTTTGGACAAAACAGTGTCCAGGTGTCGTTCAAGTACAGTGCCTAAACACTTAGCAGCATTTTTATTGAGTGTATTTAAAGAAAATTTGAGGAACCTCTTTCTACTAGAACTGATATGTCAAGCATTATATGGCCTAGAAGGTTCATAACTAGTCCAGGGCATGGAGACAGATTATGCAGACGAGATTGGACAAAAGCCAAGTGTTTACTTTCAACCAAAGTTTGCTGCAAAAAACACAAGTGTTGGTGGTTTGGGCTGCGTTTCTCACTATAAAGTTCAGTTAAAAGTGAGCACCTGTCTTCTGTCGACTCTCGTCTGCATTGCGCATTTCTTCATGCTTAACTCTGAAGGTACATGGCAGTCAGCGTAGCGTTGGCATTACTGCAGCGTGATTAAGGAGTACATATGCAGACTGTTAAATCTTGTTATGACGAAATTAAAGGGGCTGTGCGATTTGCCTGTTATTGCCAGTATTTTGTTGTAGCTGCAACGGGCATTTAGTGCAAATATTAGGCACTGTACTTAAAAAGATGCTGAATAGATTTTTTGCTGCCAAGATTTTCAGTCAAATTGGAGGATTTGGCGCCAAAATCTATAGACACAACCTTCATTTCAGGCAGAAAATAGTGTCTGGCGGTTGCATCATGAACTAGAGGAGGTGACATTTGATGGTGTTGCAGCAGACAGGCAGCCGAAAATGCCAGCCGTTGCCCGCATCTCTCAACCCGCTCAACTTTCACTATGGTTCTAGGGATGGAAGTGCTGCTCAAATTGCTCCAAACTGCTCCAAAAAAAGAAATACTGCTTCATGCTGCTCCAAAATGCAACATTTGCTAGCAACTGCTCCAAACCTGCTCTGAAAAGATATTCGCAAACTAAAAATAATGAAGTTGAACCTTGGGACCATCCTGTGAGCCTAAGCGAAACCAAAAACAAGCTGTTTGAACTATGAACCTAGCATGCTACTCAGTGACGTAAATCCAGAAAATTCACAAGGGGTGGCAAATATCGGCCCATGGTGGCGAATTAGTATCTTTAATATGGTTTGTATATTTATTTATATAAGAAATAAATCATGCTTTCAAATAGAATTAAAAAAAAAACGAGCATAGGGTCCGAGCTCGAGTAATTGCATTGTTCTATTGAGTCTCTTTTTTAACCTTGAGATTTTCATAGTTCACACAGCTGAGGGGCATTTAATACAGGTACGCAGTAACAGATAAGAAGCCTTTTAAAAAGTTGATTGTGCTATACTGAACTCTTAACTCAATTATATCATGTGCTAAAGCTATATCTCAAGGGGGGGTACTTGCAAGGGCTGTCCTCCCCAGCCTGAACATAAGAAAAGTCCGGACTCCCTTAACCCCCGCCCCCCCCTTTATTTACACCAATGATACTACTACAGTGCTCGTATACTAGCTGCATACTAGAATACAGCGTGTTTAATAATAAATATAAATATTTATTTGATGTTTAAACGATTTTTTAGACTGCAGGAGTCATTAGGAACATACATCTGCTCTGAAAACACCCATAGCAACCCTACAGTATAGCATTTTTTTCGGCTCCGAAGACACTTAAGCTTGCTTCAGAGCATCATTTTTTCTGCTCCAGAATCTGCTCCAAAAAGCAAAATGTCCCTTTTATCACTTAGTAAAAAATCACTTCCATCGATGGGGTTCTCACAACCAATACGAACAGCACCGGCAGGGAACAATACTCCCGGCTAGGTTAGTGCACCAGTGCTTTGTGGAACGGACAGAGTGTGACGAAAGGAGATGCGAAGAAAAGAAAGAGGAGGACAGGAACACCGTGGATGCACCTTGGCAATTGTGACATCACGGTGGGGCCACTGCACACTTCCCATCCGCTAGAAATGCAGCCAACTGTTTAAAAAATATACATGAAATAAATTCTGCTTATCAGAAAGGTGTGATTGACCGAGTAGAGTTGTAATGTTTTTGTCAGTTTTTCCAATTTTTGTTGAGCATGCCTCTAAAGCAAACAGCAGGCAAAATAACATCTCGCAGGCATGTGCCCTGCGGCCATGCATATCGTTTGCATTGGCTGCGTGCTGTTTGCAGCGAGAGAATTGTGGCACACAAGCAGGCGCATGGGGTGCCATCCAGCCTTGCGCACATTGCTAGAGCATGTGGAAATTTTGATTATGTGTAAAGTGCAATGTGCACAGAAACCATGGACGAAAGGGAGGAAGCAAACAGGATTAGCGCTGACTCTCAACTGAATATTTTTATCGGAAAGGAAACAGTAAATATCTGGACTTATCACAACCATGGGGCCGAAAAAATCTCCAACTAAAATACAGAAAAGGCGCACTTCACGCGTGGTGAAGATGTACCAACTCGGTCAAAGTGCCATTTTAATTGGGAGTTCTTAACTGCTGAATTCATTGCACACTGTCTCAAATCTGTGTTGCATACTTGTGACATTGGCCCAGAGTTTCGTTTCCTAAAAAACTTTGTTCATTACATTCCACAAAAAGCAAATTTCACCTCGGTAAAATGCATTTTCAAATACATTTAAATACATTAGTTTCTATAGGAATTTTCACGGAAAATTGCAATTTGGTATTGTATCCATTAATTTGTTATAAATCATCTGGTTAATGAAGTTTAACTGTATTGTTTTATACTCTTCAGAAAAACTTCTTTGTATTCTCTTTCCTTCTCACATCTACTTTGTGTCAAATATTCTGTGTGTTTTCTTGTGTAGGTGTTTATGTGCAAGTCGGAACCAATGGTCTTTTTTAGCTTTCATGGAATCGTTCTGCTGACATTTAAAGTAATGCTGTGAATTGAAAGTGCTTATATTTTATCTAATGCTTTTGTAGGGAAGAAATTCAAATAATTCGTTTCCTTGCTACTTGTCAAACGCAGCTTCTGAGTGGTTGCCGGGAAGCCGATTCCAAGGTGCACGTCCTTTTGGCTGAATGTTTCGGCGAACTGGGGGCAATAGACCCTGGCAGGTAAGGAGCATCAGGGGTAGAATAGCTGCGCCATGCTGAGCAAGTACTGGCAAATTTATTGAAATTGTGACACGCTATGCTGAAATACCCAACCAACCTCAAAATTTTCTCGCAATAATTTTAGCTAGAAATGTAAGCCATGTTAACCACTGCAGTTTTGACGTCATCATAAAATTAAATTGAGATGCCTAGAACCTAACTCTATTGCAGGGTAAAAAAGGGGTGGACTGTGGTTCTAAAATTTCTTGGCCTAGTTCTGTCACGTAAAGAAGCATGTTTAACCCACTTTGGCCACAGTACACCTGTGCCTTGTGGAAAAGTGTACTAGATTTAGAAGGGGTTGTTAGTATCAGCTGTCACAAGACACAGGACATTGTGCATGCTTCTTATAAATAATCATGAGTACTAATATGATTGCTGACATCTAAAAAAAGCTACTGGCAATCATTTGGAGCTATGGATTTTGTTTCTGCTGCCTTGAGAAACAGTAAACAAGAGCATACGCCTTTTTATTTTTCACCACCCCCACTAGCTTCTGCTTTACAAATGTCCAATCTTAGTAATCGCCAAGTTTGTCAGACAACATTAGCATTTGCAGTGCTTATCATATGGCTTGACATGTGCGGAAAATGCCAATGTGACTGTCCAGATTGTCCACAATGGCACCATAAGGCTTGTCCTGAGGAATATGGCTCGATTCGATCTGAACAGGTTGGGCTTCAGATCTCTTGTTAAGGAAGTTTTGTGAGTGAATGAATGAATTAAGGAACACCGAGTGAACGTAAGATCAACCCTAACTGATCTATCATTTGCTGTGTGTTGCTTTCAGGCATTGAACCATATAGTTTAATTTTTAGTCTTTTATCTTATAGTTAATTGCTAATAAGCAGGAGTAAAAATTGAACCGGAAAATTCTAAAAAACTCGACATTGTGCTACTGTACATGTCTGGATCACGTTTCTAATGTAACACGATGCATTTGCTTGTGCTGATAATCATACACAACATAAAAAAATCTCAGCTTTGCTTCAAAGGTGAAGCAATGGTCACGATAGCAACAAATTGAAAGGTCACACGCAGAATGGAAAGCAGATCGAAATGTGCCCCGCATTTCTCACGCACAAATGACGCAGGGAACGTACTCATAGGTAAAGATGCACGCAAATAAGCTTCTCAGTTGTTACTTCGCTGTGTCCGAAAAGCGTGCTCTTTTCGCAAACGAAGACTGCAATGATTGCAGGAACCTTTGTACACCCAGTAACTATAACATAATTGTTTCAGGTAAAGCCCGAGGCTATCCAAGACGTACGATCCTCCCCTCCTTGCCACCGCGAAATAAGGGCCCGCGAGGGAGCGTCGCTTCTCTTCTCTAAGTGGGGCTAAGTACGCGTGGGAGATTAAAGCGGGCGCCGCCGCGCAGTGTGGCGACGCATGCTCATTGCGCCGTCTGGCTGGTAATGCTGAAAACACAATTCCCCCCGAGATGCCCGTCAGCAGCTGTAAGTGGTATTATAAATAGCTTGCCTTTTGAACGTTGTAGGACGTTTCTCGGTGTTGCAGTGGTTACAATGCCTCGCATTCACGATTCAGAGGACTCAAGTTAGATAGCGCGTGCCGGAGTCTTTTTCTGTGTGTTTTTTTTTCCTTGAATTTTCATATATATAGATACGTATGCATATACGGTGAGTGACGCCGAAGTTGACGGCAAAATCCAGCCGAGAGTGTCCATATAATTGCTATCGCAATAAAAGAAAGCTAGCATTGTATATTATAACTAGCATTGATATGTTCTGTCCCTACTATTGTTGCTGGAATGTTTTTTCAGGTTGGAACTGGAGCTTCTGAACACTGAAGAGGCAGTTGCCGTCCACAGTGGAGTCGATGACAAGAGCTTTGCAGTTGACCTGCTTCAGCGCTTATGCCGGTCATACCTTGCTGCTGAAGATAGCAGAGTTCAGGTGAACAGAACTAGTAAACTTGAATATAATGATTGGCAAAAAAAAATGCAAGTAGTTTGTCCGACTAGTTCAGGAATGGCACATGTAGCAGTTCACAATCTGCAGTGATTACCTGCGCATTAAGACCCTTTGTTGCTTTGTTGCTGTTGAGCAATTGCATCCTGAATTATCTGCAGGGCTAGCTGCTGTTTATGCAGGGCAAAACGCAGGAACGCTTGTGTGCATGGGTTTATGTGTGCATTATAGAACCACAGATTGCGTTGGCAGCCTGTTGGGCTCCGTTGCATGCACATGTCTGAGCCAAGACGACACATTGGAGCATTACATCCAGTTTATTGGCATCACCTATCAAGTACTCCTGTATGTTAACATGCATGTGTACACAGCCAGCTTTCAGACAACCCTATACCAGCTGCTTGTGAAATATCCGGCTGAGCAAGTTTTTTTATTGTGTTCAATGCACTTAGTAATATGTAAGCATTCTAGCTGAGCCATAATATCTCTCTAGAGGGGATTGTAGGGTTATGTGTCTAATGACTTTTAAATTCAGTTCTCATTAATCAATGTACATACACTCCTCACCTGCATATTTGTGAAGCAAATGCTCTCAGGAAGAGCTAATAATAATAAAATAGGCTTAGGAGCATACTGAGTAAATAGAAATCTCCTAAACAGGAATACTACATAAATAGGATGCATTTTCCTGGTGTCTTCAGGTTCCTTGGTAAAGTTTGTATACATTCATACATTCTGGTTTCATTTAACGAAAGTCTACCGTATATATGGTTTGCTGGCACAAAAAGTGCAAGTTACGCTTGCTTATGTGTTACCAAATCCTTTTGTTGCTATCTTAGGACTGTTCTTCATATGCCATTCAAGAGGTCCTGAAGATTTACAATTGTAATGAGATTAAATCTACACTCGGACGAAATTTGTGGAAGAGTTTTTCTCCCGAAGTGCAGGAGATCTTCACTCCAATGCTCAGTTCAAGGTATGGTTTTCATCTTTGTTTGTTTGTTTGTCTGTTTATTTCAAGTGATCATAAGTAGTTGCTACCATTTCCTGAAAGTCATCTGTTTCAGTATTCAGCTACGAATTTGCTGTAGTATTCAATATATTAAGGTCATGTTTCTCTAAATTCAAGAATTTCTTTGTTTCAACGCTTTTGCTTATAATTTCCTTCATTCATTGTCTGCTAAGTATGGTTTTTTTTTTTTTTACTTGTGAGAAGCATGCAGAGCTGCTTATACAGTATTGAAAAAATCTCAGTAAACCTTCAATTTTATGTGCTCGTTTCAGGTACATCATGTCAAACAGTGCCTCTGTGGAGTACCCGCACCCATTGTTTGGTACTAGTTATGCACAGAACTTCCGGGACTGGTTGGCAAACTGGACGCTTGACCTTCTGGACAAGGTTTGACAACTTTTATTGTTTACGAATTCCTGCTTATTGTGCATTAACCTTGAACCCCTAAGCATGGTCTGTGTTTATCCTAGTCTCCGCCAGTAGCATTAAGGATGACTCCTACTTAATCGTATCGCATTTTCCTTCTTCACTGACAATTCATGTGCACCAGGTTTTTTAAATCATTAGGTTCTGGCTTTGGGCAATGGTGAACATTACTCTATTAGCAGTTTACCTTTACTTGTTTTGCTGTCAAAGCTAGTTGAGTACTATATCTGGCCTTCATGGACATTGAAAGGAAGCACTCTACTGGTCATTCGCTGGTCCAGAAAGTTGTTTGTTTATTCAGACAAGTATTTGTACCCTTCTCTTTGTGTTAGTGCCACAGCTTGCATGTAAATATGCAGTTGAAGGAGGACAAGGCTCTCAAGGTGTTCAGGGCATGCTCCCTTGTCTTCAAGAACGACTCCAACCTGGCTTTGTTCCTCTTGCCACGGGTTCTGGTGTGTGTCCTCGCTGTCACGGATGCTGCTGGCAGGGAGCAGGTGCGCCCTTCATGTGTGCTTAATGGAGGAAGACTGCTGTTTAAAAACTTTTTTAAATTCTTATTTGAAGTTGTTGAAGCTTGCTGAATTTATGTATATTTCTGTGCTGGTTTCAAATACGCAGTTGTTTTTTCTGTGCAATATGCAGTTTTCAAAACACTTCATGTGCTTTTTCCTTGATGAGATTTTCGCTAAACTGAGAGAATGGCGAGAATTACGAAGTAGTCAGTAGCCACAGTAATCACAATAATGTGCGATGAAAACCGTATGCAAGAAAGCAGAAACGGATGCCCTATGCCAATTTGAACAAAAGTTGTACCACATATGTTGAACATTGTGAGTGAAATCATGTATTCACCTAGACTTGCTCATGCATGCTAAGTTGCAATGGCTTTGTCCTACATTACACCCAGCATGTATATTATAATGCAGTCTTTTTCTTTCCACAGGTAATGACTGAAGTGCTGGCAGTTCTGCAGCATTGTGAGCAAACAGACGACAATTCTGGCTTGTTGCACCTCTGCTCTCAAACCATCTTCTCAATACTTGACTACTTAGCTGTGCGTGCCAAGATGTTCAGAAACTCCACAGCTCCTGGGACGTCATCAGCATCACGTATGTACAAAGTACACCTCCAAAGAGATTGTGCGGCCGAGGCCACTCACATAAATGTTTAACTAAGTGCCATTGGTATGGAGATTGCTAGTTTTTCTCATTTAGTACTGCTAATTTAGGGGCATTATATTACATGTTGGCACACTTACAACTGCACAAGCAGCTGAGCTGAACATCATGTTACTGGGCGTTTAAAAAGATCTTCATACAAAGACTGTAGTTTGGCAAATGAAGTTAAAACAGGAAAATTCAGAAAACTCGTATTAGTAGATTGTGCTTGAGACAGGCAATATGTTAGTGAAGTTGACAACTTAGTTCATATAGCTACTACATCATTCTCTCTAGAGGAGAGTAAACTCTATTTTCCATTACATAAAACTTACTATAGTACAAAATACTTCGTCCTATTTTCTCTCTCTCCATACTTTTTTTTTCATTGTTTCAATTTTTCTGTTCACAGATTTGTGCTTGCATTTTTGTTCATTCCTGAGCCCATTATGTTGTCTTCTTGTTTGTATGGGGACTTGGTGGCCTAATGGTATTGCATTGAGTGATAGTGACAGGGCTTGTAAATCTACATTCGGTGTTGCAGCGGCAGTGGCAGTGCTCAGTGATGAAGAGGCATCCTTTGTGGCTCGCATCCCGCAAGACCTCCTGGCACGCGTGTCATTCAACTGCCAGGCCTACACACGTGCTCTGTTTCACCTGGAGTCGTACCTCCATGACCACCCGGAGCGTGTGCAAGAGAATCTGCAGTTGCTTCTGGTCAGCCTGCTGTTCTTTCGAACATCTCTAATTTGCAGACAGCAGCTTCTTAAATGCAGCAGCACTTACAGTAGCAGTTTTAACGGACGTTGCTTTGAAGATTTGTAGCATTAGCACTAGTTACTTTTTTGTCCCTCAGTGTGTGTATTACATGGTGATTCATAGTCAGCATTGCAAAACTAGGTGCATTGTGCAACGCCATCTACATGGAGTTTCTCTAAATGTTTCTTTTATACTTCGAGAATTAGTAGTAGAAGGCTAACAAAAGTAACAACAAAAATTTGTAGTGAAAGCACTTGTTTTGAACCTAATGTCAGTGACAATGCAAAGCAGGCTTTCATGATCACTACAGGGAATAATGCCACATTAAATTGAAATGTAGCTTTAAACTTGATTTAATTGCCACAAAGTAACTTTAAACACGATAGTCTTTTTCGCGGACCTTCAACGTGAAAATTTTGGTTCGTCTGTCTGTCTGTACATTTGTCTGTTTGTCAATTGATTGATTTGTGGGGTTTAACGTCCCAAAACCACCATATGATTATGAGAGACGCCAGTGTCTGTTTGTCAAACTTTAACGGTACCTTAAACGGCATCGATGTGAACAAATGAAACTCCAAGCGGTTGACCCCATCCACATCGCCCACCAATATTGCTCAAGGTTCAACGTTCATACTTGTGCGATTGTCAATTAAAAAGCAATTATAGCGCATATCTGAGGCACCATAATAACACGTCAATATTATGTATGTATTTTTTACTAGAAAGGGCATATATAAGTAATTTTAAGGATGTAGCCTTTATAACTCTGTGCTGGCCATGCAACGCTTGCACGAAACGGCAAGTGTTTTTTAACGCTTTGCTAAGACGACTCAGTGATGGCACCTACCCGTCGCCTTGCATTCTACACCTTATCACCTCAGAGACAGGCGCGCCCCGTTTTCCAGGATGACTGCTAGATAGCGCTCATGTCTCACGTGTGACGTGACTTGATGCGCTCGTTCCCTTCGCTGCACGCTCGAGCCACTCTAACGCAGCGCCTGCAGAATACTATTCACCGATTTTTTTGCGCAGAACATCAAATAAACGTTTTATTCACTCTCTCCAGATGCAAGAATCTCGTCTTTCGACGACATTTGCGGTGTAACATGCAGATATGGGGTCAATTTTTTTATGTGTATGTTGTAAGCAGGGTTGTGCGAATACTAGAACTTCCGAATATTTTTTAATATTGTTAGCTATCTGATTCGACTTGCACTGATATTTGATCGTTCGAAGTGTTCAAACATTTTCAAAGACAAATACCGTCGGTGTTCGATTGGCAGGAGCCCGTTTGGATTTTTAATATGCTTTACCACTTAACACTCTAGCACTGCGTTAAAGATGCCTTTTGGAGTAAGGGCTCACTTAATGTCATTTTAGACCTGAACTTTGAGCAGAAAGCCCAAAAGATCGGATACCAAAGACTTTTAGCAATCAAAATTTTAGATGTTTTGATATATTGACTTTTACAAGGCAGATTTGGAACTACAGACTCAAAGAAAAGCTCATCGTTGTCCTCCAGATCATTTTGGGCTTCCACAGAGGAGTAGAGGCTGAGGAAACAGTGTCTATATGCCTTTCAGTGTTGTCGACACCGCTTTGTTTGCGACAAATCTTGTAAATAAATACAATTCGGCCTCTGCATTGTCTCATGCTTGATAAGACACCATCTTGCCAGTACTAGATCAACCTAGCGACAGAAAAAAAAAATGCTTTTTGTTTCTATCTCATAAGAATATGCTTAGCAATTCTCTCCAACTTTTTTTCTGTAATTTTCCTTCAAAGCATTAAAACAATATTCTATAAATATTGAAAAAATATTCAATTTATTCGCACTCAAATCTCAATTACTTGAATTCGCTTTGCACCTACAATTTTGCTTTTCGAAAGCCCGAAGAAGCATCCCAGCCATAGTAAATGTTATTCCTAATTGTGGTTCTAACCTTGTGTCATCTTTATAGTTGTGCCTTTTGGTCAACATTTGTGTAGACATTGGCACAGCATGCCTGCTCTCTTGACCGTGGGTTTCTTCTCATGAATTTCAGAAAGTTTATGTGGCGCTTGACGAGCCCGACGGAGTTGCTGGTGTAGCTGCAGTTCGTAATAGTCGGCCATCTTTGGAAGACCAAATCATTGAGCACCAGGCAATGGGTGAGCTCACTGTTGGTGACCTAGCACCGCTTTGCTTGCTAAATGTATTCATGATGCAGATGCTGCACTTTGTCTTTTGGCCGATGAAAGCCACAACATGCAAGCAGTTCTCTCTGTGTGAATCGAAAACTGTTGGTATGCTATACATACTAAGACCACTTGACTCATAGCAAACAACATTGATATGTGGGGTTTAACGTCCCAAAACCACCATATGATTATGAGAGACGCCGTAGTGGAGGGCTCCGGAAATTTCGACCACCTGGGGTTCTTTAACGTGCACCCAAATCTGAGCACACGGGCCTACAACATTTCCGCCTCCATCGGAAATGCAGCCGCCGCAGCCGGGATACATAGCAAACAACATATGTACACATTAATTACAGAAAAAATTCAAGTAAAGCTCTTTGTCTGTGCTTTATTGTACACACATTGCAGCCATTTTCCATCAATGCAGTGGTGGTTCGAACACCTACAGTCCTTCAAAGTTTGGTGTGTTTATGCTTGCTGCAATCTGCCGTTAAAACAGTAGGCCCTCATTAAATGGTACCTAGGTTCCAGTTAATGAGAGGAAAAATAGGTTCCACTCAACAGGAGTTTTTTTCACTGAGAGATCAACAGGGGTGCAGAATACAAGCACTAAACCAATGATGTTTATTTTATTTATTTATTTTGCCCTGAAGGCCAAATGGCATTACAGAGGAAGGTGGGTTATTTACAAAAAAAAAAAAAGATGCAAATGAACAAAAAGCTGTGGATACGGTTAAATCATACAAATAAGTCTCTTATATATACAATCTCTGCTAATACACTATATATTGATACAAAACAGCCGCTAAACACGGCTGCATGAAAGAGGAGGACGAAGTGGGTTTTCCCGTTGGATGCTTGTCTGACGCCATCTTGCTCGTCGGGTTCTCTGCGCTGTAAATAGCTCATTAAACAAGTTACTCGTAACATTATTGGTGGAGGTGGACGACCCCCGTACCTCGATGGAGACGCGCAGCGGTCGCACCATCGGCGACCTTTCGATTGCTTCGACTGCTGGTACTTCCTCTACGCCGCCCTCATCAGTCCAAGCCACCACCTACGTCACACTACCGCACCTCCGGGATCCCGGCACTTTCTTCGGTGATGGTACGATCGATCTCGACACTTGGCTGAAGCGGTACGAGCGCGTCAGTGCTACTCACCGATGGGATCCCACGCTCATGCTCGCCAACATGCTTTTCTACCTGGACGGCACTCCCCGAACATGGTTTGAAAGCCACGAAGCCGACATAACGAGCTGGGATCTCTTCAAAGAAAAGATACGTGACCTGTTTGGCGATTCACCTGGTCGTCAGCTCGCTGCAAAGAAGACTCTTGCCACACGGGCCCAGTCTTTTACCGAATCGTACGTCTCTTACATTCTTGACGTCTTGGCCCTTTGTTCCAAGGCCGACCAGTCCATGTCGGAAGACGAAAAGCTTAACCACGTCTTGAAAGGCATTGCTGACGATGCTTTCAACCTGCTGGTTTTTAACCACGTCTCGAGCATCGACACAATCCTGAAAGAATGCCGACGTCTCGAACAAGCTAAAGCCCGCCGCGTAGCCCAAAGCATCGTGCGCCTTCCGAACACAGCGGCCACTTCTTCGTGTGACGACGCCTTCCACCAGGCCCCTCGATGTGACAACCTTACACGCATCATTCGTCGAGAGGTCGAGGCAGCACAACCGGTAGCCACGCCATTACCGACACCTGCGCCTTCCCCGACCACGATCTCTTTAATACAAGGGGTCGTTCGTCAAGAGCTATCGAATGTCGGCCTACATCCTGTTCCTACCGTATACTCTGCTGAGCCTTCTTATCGTACCCCTTCTGCACCTCGCATACAACGCAATCCGTCCGAATGGCATACTCTTGATGACAGGCCCATATGTTTTAACTGTCGACGCGTTGGTCATATCGCTCGTCACTGCCGCAGCCGCTGGGCTCCACCGTCCCATTATGCACTGTAGCGATCGGGCTATGCCTTGACCCAGCGAGTCATTTGCCACGCCGGATTAGTGCAAAAAGGACAGTCTCGCCACGTCTGGACGGAGGAAGCAACAGATGCCGGCCCCACGAGACGTCGCCTACTGATTGACAGCGGCGCCAACGGGGTGGAATGTCGCCAAAGAGGGTTTTGGAGCCGCCACTCTATCTCCCGCCTGGGCCAGTCACGCATCGTTAGCGCGTTAACCGGCAGACGACGACGGCGCTGGTCAAAGGGCTCTCCCCAGAGGATTCCACGAACCGGGCACCTCTCAAAAGATCGGCGCTTGTTTAATCCATTGTCAAGTAGCCGACCGGCTGACTGCCTATGCCCGCCAGGCATTGTCCCGGAGTACGAGACGTAGTGTCGCCAAGACGCCACCAAGAGGACAACAGGGAGGGCGTCTTCCTGGGGGAGACCGCGGCGGCTGCCGCGGATCGCCCCGCTAATTGAGCGAACATAATCGGCGGACCCTTTGAAGTATGCGGCCAGGATCGTGGGCACTCTCGACTAAAGGCTCACACACGACGAGGAAGAGCCCTGCTGGCGCCACCAAAGTGCAGTGTTCACGTGGACCTTGCATGCTCGCCCCCCCCCCTCACCTGTGTGTGCGTGATTGGTGGTCGACTCGTAGAGGAGGAGCCCGACAGGGCATAAAACGACGCGGCAGAGCTCTGAACCTTGCTCTGAACTACGTAAAGTTCAACCACCACGCTCGTGGTTTGTGAAACCACTAGTTCTTCTCTTCTCTTCTGTCATCTCGACAACTCCCTGTAAAGATGTAAATAAATCCGTTAAGTTTGCTCAAAGCTCTCCCCTAGTCCTTGGCTCGACGGAGCGACGGCGATCGGCCCCGCTACCCGCAGACTGCGGTCGCCGCGACGCGCAACAGCACCTCACTATCACACCACTTCTGCTCGCCAGGCGTACCCACCACTTTCTCCATCAACGACGACCACATTTTCCGCTCCTACAGCACCTCTGAGCAGACCTCGCTACAACCGGTCACCGTCCCCTGCTCGTCGTCAGTCCCGGTCGCCCCCACAACGCCGTGCTGCCTCCCCGACCTATTCGCAGCATCTCCGACCGGAAAACTAGGCCGTGCAGCTTCTGGAGGTGGAGCTGCGTTGACGACCTTCGTAAGAAATCCTCGATTAACATTAACAACGAACCGGAACCTTTTGGACGTTACTGTCGACAATGTTCGTGTCAGTGCATTGATAGATACTGGCGCGCATGTGTTCATTATGAGTGCTAACCTTCGCCGCCGACTTAGAAAAGTTGTCACGCCCGCCCTCAACCGAGCTGTACGAGTCGCCGATGGAGGAACTGCCGCAATTCTTGGCATGTGCTCTGCGCGAGTGTCTATTGGGGAGAGAAGCACCGTCGTTCTTTTCGCCGTTATCGAACATTGCCCTCATGAACTCATACTCGGTATGGATTTTCTAGCCACGCACTCTGCCCTCATAGACTGTTCAGCTGGCTCTCTCCATCTCGATTTACCCCTCTTTTCCGACCCGACCAGCCCACCGCAAACCAGCCTCTGCTGCATTGATTTCACGCGCCTTGCTCCTAACTCTGTCACACATGTCGACTTATCCTCCACGCCGCCAGTACCTGATGGTGATTATATGGTGGCCCCGATTCCTGCAGTGATGCTTACGCATGGGGTTGCTGTGCCGCATATGATTCTGACGATTAAGAGAAACCGCACCTTCCTTCCACAGGTCAACTTTTCACTCACCACCCAAGTTCTGCCACGGGGTATCTCCCTGGCCAAAATTACTGCTCTCCAAGATGACCATGTCGAGCCCTTCAGAGTTAATGATTGCTGCAGCTCAGTCAGTGGTTTCACTTCATCACGTTCTTGGGGCGCCGACATCGAGCGAATGGTGTCATCGGACCTCACGTCTGAGCAAGCTGCAGCGCTTTGCCACGTTCTTGAGGGCTATCGTAGCATTTTCGACTTTGCCAGCAACTCTTTGGGCCAAACGACCATTGTCACCCATCGCATAAATACTGGCCATGCAACCCCCATTCACCGACGCCCCTACCGTGTGTCAGCGTCGGAGCGTGCAATATTACAACATGAAGTCGGCAAAATGCTTGCGAAAAACATTATCGAGCCTTCATGCAGCCCCTGGGCTTCTCCAGTCGTCCTCGTTAAAAAGAAAGATGGAACATGGCGCTTTTGTGTCGATTACCGTCACCTTAACAAAATTACCAAAAAAGACGTTTCTCCTTCACCTCGCATCGACGACGCCCTCGACTGCCTGTACGGTGCCACTTATTTTTCAACTATTGACCTTCGATCAGGGTACTGGCAGATAGCCGTCGACGAGATGGACCGCGAGAAGACCGCATTCATCACTCCTGATGGTCTTTATCAGTTTAAGGTGATGCCCTTTGGACTCTGCAATGCACCAGCCACATTTGAAAGAATGATGGACTCATTGCTCCAAGGGCTGAAATGGTCCACCTGCTTGTGTTACCTTGACGATGTTATTGTTTTTTCGCCCACATTCGACTCGCATCTTGATCGTTTGTCAGCTATTCTGGACGTTTTTCGTCGAGCTGGACTCCAGCTTAACGCCTCCAAGTGCCGCTTCGCTCGTCGTCAAATTTCCGTGCTCGGTCACCTTGTCGATGCTCAAGGCGTGCGTCCAGACCCAGAGAAAATTCGCGCAGTCACGAACTTTCCCGTTCCGAAGACCACAAAGGATGTCCGCAGTTTTGTGGGGTTGTGCTCATATTTCAGGCGCTTTGTTAAGGACTTTGCGTGGCTCACTTTGATCCATTAGCCCCAACCGAGGTTCACACGAACGCCAGTGGACACGGCATAGGAGCTGTGCTATTGCAGCAACAACGAGGACACGACCGTGTTATAGCCTACGCAAGTCAACTGCTATCTCCAGCCGAGCGCAACTATTCCATCACGGAGCGCGAGTGCCTCGCCCTTGTATGGGCAGTCGCCAAGTTTCGCCCATACCTGTACGGGCGCTCATTCCGTGTTGTCACGGATCATCACGCGCTCTGCTGGCTAGCCTCCCTGAAGGACCCCACGGGACGTCTCGCTCGTTGGGCTCTACGCCTTCAAGAGTTCACGTTCTCTGTAATGTACAAAACAGGGCGATTACATCAGGATGCGGATTGTTTATCCCGCTACCCTGTTGACGAAGCAACCAATACTGACGCTATCACGGACGTTTTTTCCTTGTCGCAGCTGTTAAACATTGGCGAAGAGCAACGTCAGGGTGCTTCTTTACGAGCCATCATTGACAAACTGGAGTCAACGCCTCGCGACCCGTCCCTACGAATGCTTTTGATGAAAGACGGGATCCTATATCGCCGCAACCTTGATTCCTTCGGATCAGACTTACTTCCTGTCATCCCAGCGCACCTGCGTTCCACTGTTCTGCATCAACTTCATGACGCTCCCATGACGGGCCATTTGGGCATTTCTCGCACATACGATCGGGTACGACGTCGTTTTTTTTTGGCCTGGACTTGCCCGCTCTGTTCGGCGCTATGTCGCCGCTTGTGAGCCCTGTCAGCGTCGCAAAACGCCGTGTGCCCTCCCAGCCGGCTACCTTCAGCCGATCGACGTTCCCAACGAGCCTTTCTTTCGAGTTGGTCTCGACCTGTTGGGCCCTTTTCTACTCTCCACAGCCGGAAATAAATGGATTGCTGTTGCCACGGACTACGCGACGCGGTACGCAATCACACGAGCACTCCCGACCAGCTGCGCTACCGACGTTGCCGACTTTCTGCTGTACGACATAATATTAGTGCACGGTGCTCCCCGTCAACTTCTCACCGACCGTGGCCGCACGTTCTTATCAGCTGTCGTTCATGAAATCCTGAGGTCTTGCCATACCAAGCACAAATTTACTACTTCGTACCATCCCCAGTCAAATGGCCTCACGGAGCACCTTAACAGGACCCTAACCGATATGCTTGCCAAATACGTTGCGCCAGACCACCATGATTGGGACATTCATTTGCCGTATGTGACGTTCGCCTACAACTCATCTCGTCACAACACTGCCGGATATTCGCCCTTCTATCTACTATATGGCCGGGACCCAACTCTACCTTTAGACACGTTACTACCTGCGGCCACTGAATATGCTGGTGAAGCCATTGCCCGCGCCGACCACGCGCGCCAAGTCGCCCGTAACCGTCTACAGGCTTCACAGGCGCGCTAACAACAGCTCTACAATTCTCACCATAGGGACGTGCACTCCGGGTTCTCTCGTGCTCCTCTGGTCACCTACTCGGCGTGTGGGACTGTCGGAAAAACTGTTGTCGCCCTACACTGGACCATTCCGTATCGTTCGCCAAGTGACAGACGTCACGTACGAGATTGTTCCAACCGATCCAACAAAGTCATCGTCAGCTCCGAGCGACACCGTTCACGTGGCTTGGCTAAAGCCCTATTACCCCCTTTCGACATCATCTGCGTAAATTTAGCACCGGGACGGTGCTTCTACCGCCGGGGGTTATGATACAAAACAGCCGCTAAACACGGCTGCATGAAAGAGGAGGACGAAGCGGGTTTTCCCGTTGGATGCTGGTCTGACGTCATCTTGCTCGTCAGGTTCTCTGCACTGTAAATAGCTCATTAAACAAGTTACTCGTAACATTATTAACACATTTTAGTTAATACAACACAAAACCTAATTATACAATGTTAGCTATTGCAACAAAAAGACCTTATAATACAATGTTACACAAGTTTTCATCGCTAATAGCAACAATGTCTCACCGGAAAGTCTATTCCACTCCTTTGATGTACGAGGCAAAAATGAATTGAAGAAAGTTTTTGTGTTGCATGAGGAGTTATCGACTTTGTGATGGTGGTCAATGCGGCAGGATATGTGCTGTGGGTGAAGAAGTAGTTGGTCATGCGAGAAGGGATGATGATATATCTGGTGAAAATATACGGGAGACTTTTTTGCGAAACGTTAAAGAAGAGAGTGCAAGGGAAGTTTTCATGATTTAAATGCTTGTGGTTATGTTATAATTAGACAATATAAAACGAACGAAGTTATTCTGAACAAGTTCAAGGGAAGTTACCAGATTAATATAGGTGGGGTCCCACGCGGCTGTAGCATATTCTAGCTTAAAGCGTATTAGTGTTTTATAAAGCTGCAGTTTTAAGCCATATGGAACGTTAAAAAAGTTATGTCGTAAGTAGCCAAGCATGTAGTTAGCATCGTTAATAATGTATTCAATATGAGGTGACCAGTTGAGATTAGTTGTTACGTGAACTGCAAGATACTTTTCATGCACGGCGATACACTTGAGGACAGGCAACCACTTTCACACAACCATTTATTCTCCGTGCCACATCTCAACTCTCCGCGTCTCGCCTCCCCCCTTCCCGCACGCACCTTTACTGTTCACGTGACACTCGTGCGCCACCTTGTTCCCCGACCGTCAACTTCACCCAACCCTCCGGCACTCACTCTCATTCACAGAATACAGAGGAATGTTATTAAGATAGTAAAAGAGGTGAGGTAGTGGGTGTTTTGATACATGGAGGAGTTTCCACTTGTTAATGTTTAGGTCTATTAGCCATTTTTCACACCAGTTCTATATAACGGTCGGACTGCAATGAGTTAATATAACTATCGCTAGTAATTTCTCGAAAAATAACACAGTCCTCAGCACAGAGATGATTGTTAGATGATACAACCGATGACAGGTCATTAATATAAAAGAGGAACAACAGGGGGCCTAAGATGGACCCTTGCGGAATGCCGGAATGAACTTCACAAATTATGACCATTTGTAGTAACGAATTGTGATCTGTTAGTGAGAAATTATTCAATCCACATCAGTAGGTTTTAGTTGGTGTAGTTTGTAAAGTAGCAGTCAATGGCAAACCTTGTCAAAAGCTTTTGAAAAATCTATAAAAATACAGTCTGCATGAGATGATTTATCAAGAGTCTGATGTAAGTGAAGAGTGAATGATATTAACTGTGTTTAACATAAATATGTTTTACAGAAGCCATGTTGTGCTGACGTGAAGGTAGTCATTTCATTTAAGCTGCAGTACTGTTTATAAAAGATTTACATTTATCTACTGCATATCTGGCAAATGGTTTCAGCACTCTAAGCTTTGCTTGTTTGCCATTAAGAAATACTCGGCATTTTAAGGTGCTGTGGCAGTCTTGCAGTCCCAAAAGCTTGCGCCAGTGGTGTGAGAACACGAGTACCTTGCGTTGCTGTGCAGGGAAGCTGCAGGATGCTCTCGCATGTTATGAACGAGCACTACGACTGCCCACGTCTCAAGCGTCTCACCATCAGGGGCTGCTCAGTTGCCTCCTGTGCCTCGACCAACCCAGCACAGCACTCACACATGCCTCAGGGCTTCTCGCAGAGAGGTACCCACAATATAGATGTTGTCTGATCTCAACATTATGCCTCAGAGCAAGTGAGATTGCTTCACAACCTCTCCCAAGGGCTCTATAATATTGTGCAGTTGATTTAGTTTTATTATTTTGTGGAGCATGCACAGGTTTTTCTCTGTGATACACTAAATGTCAAGTCAAGTGACAACAATATATGCTTTGGGCAGTGCCTATCTACACAAATTGCAGGGATTGTACCTAATGTGTACATGTGCATTTCCATGAAGTGATTAGCATGTCACTCTGTGCATCTTTTGTGAGAGTAGTGAGATTTAAAAAAAACATAAACAAATGCCTGTATTTGTGTGGAGAAATACCGCATATAATTTCTCACTCATAAAAACACTATGGCATTGCGATAACTTTGATAGAGACAATGCAACAACATGCAAAACTGATATCCATTCATATTGACCTCTCATAGGCAGTTATGGACAGTTTAAAAATTTATAACCCTAAACAGCATGCAGTTCGTTTAGTATAGGTTATTGTTTGGTGATAATACTTTGTATTTTTCCAGCCTTAGAGGGAACTTATTTGAATTTTAATCCTAAGATGTATGCATACTCTGAGGATCTGGCATCATCTGATAGCTTACTGTTTCTGCTCAATCATACCTCAGAGCCCTTGAAAAAGGTGCCCTTTAAGTTAAAATGAATTGGTTAATTGCTAAGCTCTTATTCTAACATTTATGCTTATCACTTACACACTGTATGTTTCAGCTCAGTTCAGGACCAGCCTTGATGTACATATGCTATCACTAATTATGTATTACAATGCACTGTCTGCCATAGTGCAGTAGCAACTTTGTGAGGAAGTGTTCAGTTCATGAAAAAAGGAATAAAGAAAAAGAGAATGCGTGGTCATAAACAAAGCTCTAAAGTAAAGCTGTACGAATAGCAAAATTTTGGGTGCGAAGCGAATTCAAACATTGAGGTGTAAGTGTGAATTGAATTGAATAGCCATTTGAATATTTTGTCTTGAATATTTCTAGAATTTCTTTCTAGTACTTTGAAGCAAAACTGCAGAAAAAAATGTTGGAGGAGATTCCTTAGCATATTTGTTGTGTATCAACATAACAGGGTTTATTACGCTTAGTTACATCGAGAGAGCAGTGACAGAGACATTGAGCGTAGCTTCACTCCGGCTCCCCAAGTCCAAGCCTGACTGAGTCCCCATCTGCCAGAACACGCGGCAACATACTCCCAAGGCGGCAGTGCCATCTACCCGAGCACTTTACAACTGCCTACACAGCAATATTCTTATTAACATAGAAACATGCCAGCATTTCTTTTGACTAGGTTAATCCAGTGCTGGTGGGGTGGTGCAAGAGGCTGAATTGTATTTATGTACGTGATTGGGTGAAGTTTTGCTAACGACACTTTACACATGTAAAGCACACATATGCTATTTTGTCAGCCTCCCCTATTCTTTCAACTTCTGTGAAAGCTCAACTGATGTGACGGGCAAGGGTGTGCTTCCTTCGAGTCCGGTTTACCAAATCTGCCTCATAGATGTTAATATATAAGAACATCTGAAATTTCAGATGCTAAAAATCTTTGTCGGATTTTTCAGACATCTTGGCCAAGTTTCAGGTCCAAAAGAGTATTAACTGAGGCCTCACCTCTGCCACATTAAAAAAAAAATTTCATTTAGTAATACTGTCAATCCCGTCAGGGATTTTCACAGGAGTGTGTTTGCAAAAATACTAACATTGTGTTACACATCCACAAAATTATGCAATAATTATATAGGGTTACAAAAACTATCAATAAGACATGATAGTCAGTGTTGACTTATGTTATTAAGGAGTGCAAAAAGGTAATGTATGAACACTTTGTGTCAGTTACATAAAATGTGCTGCAAAAGAACATGACAAAAAAAAAGAAAAGCAAGCACGTAAAATAAAAATGGTAATTGTACCAGGTTACATTACAAATACTTAATATAATATAGTTAAGTTGGTTAATTATAATATAGTTAAGTTGGACAGTCATAAATGCAATAGTGATAGTGTTGCTAATGTGTTGCTGATATCATGCCTTTGCCAGCAAGTTTTCACAAATTTGTCAACAGGGGGTTTTGTGCCCACTGTCTGATAAAATGTTCCATTCCCAACAAGCCTGCGGAAAGAATGATAAACTAAATGTGTTATCGGTGCAAAAGTATTCTTGGAGAGTGAGGTTATACTTATGATGGGCTTTACTGAAAGTGTTGCAGGATTAATGCAGGCGTTTGAATCTATTTTAGTTCTGTTATGCAGAACGACGTACAAAAATTTGAGTCTGAACAGCATTGCACGGCTAACTGACACGGGAAGGCCGAGCTCTGATAACAGGGTGGGCGCCATATGGAGAAATGGGTGGGCCGGAGCCCCGACAAAATTTCTGCTTGCTCCCCCTTTGCCCCCCCTCCCCCCAAAGCAAGCCTAGTCAAAACATACTACACATATTCCCTGCCTCCATGCCGCCCATGAAGTAACTCAGCTGTCATGGTGCCCCCAGAAAAAAAATTCTGCTACCCCTGTCTGATGGCATCTGCATAAGCGAGTCGTTGCGTCTGTATCTGTTACAGATAAAATGCACGGCTCTTCGCGTACAGCCTCAATAGTAGCTATGTGATTTTGAGTAGACGGAAACTATGCCACACTCGCATATTTTGAGAAAAGGTGTATAATCGCCACATAGGCCAAAAGCTTGGCTTCCCTTGTAGAGTACCGCAAGGCCCGTTTTGAAAACATTAGCTTTCCTACTGCTTTGCTTGTGACGTGTTTTACAAGTGCCAACCATCCTAAATCCGGTGATGTGACGATGTCCAAGTACTTATTCTGAGTGACGGTGTTAAGGATGATATTATCATAGCCATACAGAAAAGTAAGTTGGGATTACTTTTTAGTCAATGTCATCACAACTGCTTTATCAAAATTGATGGCCACTTGCCAGCTCTTAAACCATTGTGCTAGCAAAGCAAAGTTCTTGTTAAGACTAATTCGATCTTGCTGGCTTCGTATTTCTTTATACAGGACGCAGTCATCTGTAATCAACCTAATATTTTCTTTAACCTGACAAGTTACATTGTTTATAAACAGAAGGAATAGAATAGAGGCCAATACGAAACCCTGAGCAACTCCAGAGAGTATCGGCTTAATTTCAGAAGTGCTGGCTTCTAGCTGAACAAACTGCCGACGGTTCGTAGCACTTGATTCAACAAAAGCAGGCCCATCCCCTAATATATGTTTATGCTTTACAAGAATTTTAGCATGGCAGACAACATCGAAGGCTTTTGAGAAGTCTAGGAAGATCATATCTATTTGTGTCTGGTCATTAATTCCTTTAACAAAATTATGCATGATTTCAACAAGTTGTATAATGGTGGACAGACCAGCCCTGAAGCCATGTTGATAAGGTTGGAGAGCCCTGTTTGCTTTGATGAACTCAGTAACAGACTTTCATATAATATGCTCCAAAATTTTTCAGCAAGTACATGTGAGAAAAATAGGCCTTTAATTCGACTGTAAAAAAGCATCACCAGATTTTTAGACTGGTAGTTTTTTAGCAATTTCCTATTTGTTTGGCATGCAATCTTCTGAAACTGACTTGTTGTAGGGAAGGCACAAGTACTTGCTTACAGTTTCGGTGTAGCGTTTCAGGATGCAGTTCGCATCATCTCCATGTTGGAACCAGTGTTTTCTTAGGTTAATACATTTGCGATCATAGCCGAGCCTGAAAGGCAGCTTTGTTGCCATACAAGTGTGTGATGGAGTGAAGCATAATAAAATCTGAAGGGGCTATTGATAATTGGACATCGACTGTACTTGTCATCATGAAGTTTGAATAGTAAAAATTCTAATGCGAATCGAATAGAATAGCAAACACTATTCAAGAAACTCGAAATTTTGAATATTTGCACACCCTACTTTAAAGTAAAATTTCATGCATTTACAAAATCTGCATTGTACTTTGTGATTGATGTAGTGAACAGAAATCGGCAAACTCAGAAATTGAAGAAAAAACAAGTTTTTGTACTTTATTAATGCGCATAATTCCTAAGTGATTCTGCAGTCATAACGCTGCATAAACAGCAGGTTTAATTCAATAGTTTCTAAGCATTTTCCCACTTTTTAGGTTTGTATCGCTTGAAATTAATAATTGCAGATGTAAATGGTAAACACAAAAACTGCACATTTGATTGTCTTCAGGTGAGGCTCATGCTGCACTGTGTAATATTTCCTTTGAACTTACGTCTGCTTCTTTACGAAAGAACGGATCTTTTTGTTTGTTACATTGTTAGGAGTGACTGGCTACCAGACATAATTGAGTACCAAGCGGAAGCTGCCTGGAGACTTTGCAACTGGGACTTGCTTGAGAAGTTTTTGCATACTCAGGTCTGTTTGTTGCTTCTTGCTTGTTTTAGGTCATATAGGTGCACTAGTTTCAAACATGAAAACTTGTATATGCATGTAAGATAACGCATACAGCAGATGTAGTGCCACTGATTTCTCACATTTTGCTTCTCCATTTAGAAACACACTGCCTTCACAAATGCCATGCTGTTTAGAGTGTGCGAAAATGTTCCATTTGCCCTAATGTTATATTACTGTTAATCACATGACGACTGTATTGCCAGCAAAGTTTATGCCACTATTATGGTAAAACTAGGAGCACAGGATGTCAGGAAAAATTTAAACACTGTGAAAGGCAAAGAGAAGTGTTGCAGAGCCCACACAACGATCAACTTACTTGACAAAGCATCAACTACTGGAGTGAATGGAGTGGAAATCGATATCTTTTCTCTCTCTCTCAAATAGTTTGATTGCTAGGCTTGAAAATAAATGCAGTGTTTCTTAATATGTAATGCACTTGTTATATTCTACTGCGATGTATGTATAAATGTGCATCTTTCACAAGCAACATCTGTATAACTTAAGCATGGTTTAACAAGGCCCGCACATTCTTATAAAACTTAGTTGTAATTTTGCTAGCAATAAGATACTAAATCATCAAAATTTTCTGCTAGCAATTGATCATCCGAGATAATCCTGCACTATTTCTGCCTCGGAGGTGTGCGTGATATGTAAGGTTCGTGTGTACATTATGCAACCTCCCTAATGCTCATAGATTAGCATTGAAAATTGAAACATGCTATTGTCTTCATCTCTCTCTTTTTCTTTGTGCCAACACCGCACACTTTTTTTCAAAGAGATATAGAATTTAGTTTCATGTATGCACATGAATGTACACACAGGGTTATATATTACTGTTATGTAACTACGAGCGATTCATCAGACTGCAGTGTAGAGCAGAAATTACTGAGCATGCCTGAAGGCAGTTGGTAAGAAACATATGCTCAGATATGTATTACTGTTCGAGTTCATGTGCATTGCACAGAACTGTACATATTGGGTGGTGAATCACATTTGTGAAGCAGTATCCAGGAGTGCAACAGCTACGCCAATTGTGCCAGTTTGATACAATTCCGAATTTTGGTGCCGAGCTGGGCCAAAACCATGAAATTTGCTTAAATTGCGCCATGCTGTGCCAAAATGCCCGACCAGCCTCAAAGTTTTCTCAGTTGTGCCAATTTCAGTGAGAAACGGTGGCCACGTTGGCTATCTGCATGCAGTTTGCATCAGCAATCAATCCAAGCACGCAGACCCTAACCCTAAACCACAGTGTAAAATATATTCCCATTAGGTTAGGACGCTCGCGACATGCGATCGACCAGATAAAATAACATCGCCACCAGCTCGCCATCTGTTCGCTGCGGATACCTATCAGCGGAACGACGCAACTTAAAAACAAAAAAGCATTGCTGTAGCCGTCAACGCCCTAGTGAGCAAACGTGGCTATGGCATGTTAGCGACTGAAGCTAAAAGCATGTGCCACGTTTCCCGCGCTCGAACAGACTCGACGTGCTGCTAAAATTGGTATTCCCCGGCGACCACTTTGGTTGACATAGTAATGGTACATAAAACATTTTTCTGTCTTAAAGTTGTGTCGTGCCGGCGATAGATATCCGGTGCCGTTGCCAGGCCAACAGGCGCTCGTTGTTACTTTATTTGGTCGAACGCGCCTTGCAAGCAAGCCAAGAAGTTGTGCCCTAAGCCTAATCTCATTGCAAAAAAAAAGGAACAAAAAGAGGGGGAGGTGGGCATAGCAGTCTTTCATGACTTGTTCTTCCTTGTGCAGAATGCTGCTTTATCCACCTTAGCTACGGTACATCAATGCCCTGTGAAAAGCTGCATGACTATTTTGAAGGGGCTGTTAGCACTAATCATGGGACGCACTACGTTTTGTTCAATTACTCATGCGTATGTAAGGCACATAATTGTGAGTAATAGTAGGATCAATGACGTCTGAAAAATTTACTGGCAATCATTTGTAGCAGCATATAAGATTTCTGGTGCCCTAATAAAAAGAACTGTGTGCCAGTTTTATTTTTCTGCCACCTATACGAATCTCCTGAATTTCGAGGTCGCCAGCCTGGCTGCTCCAAATTTGAATTCACAAAGTCAGTCGCACCAAATGCTAATGCGTTGTCATTATTTGCTCAGTGAGGTGGTTCAAAATACTAATTTTATTGATACTTAATTCTCTCAATGACCACAATATAGTCGTGCCGCCTCTACCTGTATCATCGTTTCAGTAGCATGTGACGGACCGTTCGACGGTTGAAGGAGTCGCGACCAACTAACCTCGCTGCTTTTCACTCACGGGATTTCCCGTAGCACGAGGAATAGTCAATGTCACCGACGGCCCGAACGAACTTGCTGTTGACCAATTTCACCTCCGAGCGACTGGCACCTTCCAAAAGGCACACGTTGGCACATTTCGACGAGATCGCAGATGTTCATGACTGCTTTTCAGCACTCGAAGCAACACCTGCACAAGACCACGTGACCTAGCACCTAACCTTGACGTCAGCCCTACTTTAACTCAGCAACAGTGGGAACCCTGTTGTGCTGCTAGACGAGTTCACGACTGTTTTGCGTCGACCTCGAAAGTTGGCCGGACGTCCTTGACCAAGCACCGAATCATCACAGAGGACACGGCTAGACCAATTCATCAAAATCCGTACCGTGTGGCTTCAAAAGAGCGAGAAGCGATAGAACAGCAGGTAACAAAAATGCTTGAAGACGACGTCATTCAACCGTCGAAAAGCCCCTGGGCATCACCTGTTGTTCTAGTGAAAAAGAAGGACGGCGGCCTGCGTTTCTGTGTGGACTATCGAAAGCTAAATCAGGTTACAAAAAAGGACGTGTACCCGCTTCCCCGCATAGATGATTCGATTGACAGGCTTTGAAACGCACGTTACTTTTCTTCCATGGACTTAAAGAGCGGATTTTGGCAAATTGAAGTAGACCCCAGGGATCGTGAAAAAAACGCTTTCGTGACGCCAGACGGACTCTACGAATTTAAGGTTTTACCATTTGGCTTGTGCTCCGCTCCTGCTACTTTCCAGCGTCTCATGGATACCGTTCTCTCTGGCCTTAAATGGAGAACCTGCCTAGTATACCTTGACGACGTCATTGTGTTTTCTACAACGTTTGACGAACACCTTGAACGATTGCAAATGGTCTTGCAGGCCATACGGGCCGCAGGCCTGACGTTCAAGCCGGAAAAATGTCACTTCTGCTTTGAGGAACTGCAGTTTCTCGGCCATGTCGTCAGTTATGCAGGAGTTCGTCCAGACGCCGAAAAAGTTGCCGCCGTCCCACAGTTTCCAACACCATCAGATAAAAAGGCAGTGAGCCGTTTTCTGGGTCTCTGTGCATATTATCGGCGATTTATTCCAGATTTTGCACGCATTGCGTCACCTTTAACTCGTCTCACGAGGGATGACGTTGCATTTGTTTGGGGCGACGAACAGGAAGATGCTTTCAATGACTTGCGGCAACGTCTACAGACGACCCCCGTACTTGCCCATTTTGATGACACAGCCCCTACAGTGCTCCATACTGACGCCAGCAATGTTGGCCTCGGAGCTGTGCTTGTACAGCGCCAGGATGACGAGGAAAGAGTGATCGCTTACGCAAGCAGAACTCTGTCACGCACAGAAGCAAATTACTCGACCACTGAAAAGGAATGCCTCGCCGTGGTGTGGGCAGTTATGAAATTTCGCCCATACCTGTACGGCCGCCCATTCAAGGTTATCAGTGACCACCATTCGTTGTGTTGGTTAACAGGTCTGAAAGATACTCCGGGCGATTGGCACGCTGGAGCCTTAGACTACAGGAGTTTGATATAACGATGGTGTATAAGTCGGGAAAACGACACACGGACGCCGACTGCCTATCTCGATCACCAATAGAGTCGGCTGCTGCTTTTGATGAAGAGACAGCGTTCCTCGGAATCCTCGACACGTCAACCATCGCAGATCACCAGCATGACGATCCTGAGCTACTTGGCTTGATTAATTATTTAGAAGGACGAAGCCAGAATGCACCCAAAGCCTTTACAAGAGGACTATCGTCGTTCTGTCTGCGAAACAATGTCCTTTACAAAATGAACTTCTCGTCAGACGGGTCTACCTACCTGCTTGTCGTCCCTACCACTCTTCGATCTGAGGTGTTGCAAGCGTGCCACAACGAGGTAACATCTGGACATTTAGGCTACACGCGCACACTGAGCAGAGTTCGAGGGAGATATTACTGGCCTGGCCTCACCGCTACCGTGAAGCATCATGTTCGGACCTGCCTCGATTGCCAGCGGCACAAGTCACCTCCAACGAAACGAGCCGGTTTGCTACACCCTGTCCAGATCCCGACAACGCCGTTTGACCAGATCGGAATGGACCTTTTGGGCCCACTTCCCACCTCTAGTGTTGGTAACCGTTGGGTTATAGTGGCGACCGACTACCTTACTCGCTAAGCCGAGACAAAAGCCATCCAGAGAGGCACAGCAGAGGAGGTAGCCCGGTTCTTCATAGAGAACATTGTGCTGAGACACGATGCGCCATCGATCGTTATAACAGATCACGAAACCGCATTCACGGCCGCGCTTTTAGATCATGTGTTGGTGCTCAGCGGTACTATTCATCGCAAGTCGACAGCTTACCATCCACAAACCAACGGGTTGACCGAGCGACTTAACAAACTCTGGAAGACATGCTTTCAATGTATGTGGACTTCGAACACAAAAACTGGGACGAGATTCTCCCTTACATAACGTTCGCATACAATACTGCGAAACAAGAAACCACACGGATGACCCCATTCAGCCTTGTTTACAGACGAGAAGTAAGAACGATGTTAGACACGATGCTGCCACACGAATGCGATGACAACGAAACGAGTGCTGACGCGTTTACTCAACGCGCAGAGGAAGCCAGGCAGCTCGCACGTCTGCGAATATACAAACAGCAAGAGTACGACGCAGGCAGCTATAACCAACGTCATACACCTGTAACGTACGAAACCGGGGACAGGGTATGGGTGTGGATGCCTGTACGAAGACGGGGACTATCCGAAAAATTGCTCAGAAGGTACTTCGGACCTTACCGAGTGCTGCGACGACTAAGTGACGTTACCTATGAAGTCGTCCCGGATAGCCCAAACTGTTCAAGGCGTCGCCAGCACCGACCTGAGCTTGTGCACGTAGTGCGCATTAAGCCATACGTCAGCGAGTGACTCTGCGAGGCACCATCGCTTCTACAAAGTGACTTCTTGCGCAAATTACTGTCTCAGCTATAGCATCGGGGCGATGCTCTTTTAAGGGGAGGCAAATGCCGCGCCCGAAACAAAGAACGAAGACGATGTGCGCGCTAACAGCCTCGTGAAAAGGGGGACTGAAGAAGACGACGTGCTTTTGTTTTTGCTCGCCTGCTCTTGGCTCCTGCATAAAAACACACGCCGTCAGTTCTCGGACTCAACATCTCGGTGCACTGCTTACGTTGAACTGCGACACCCTAATGTTATATTACTGTTAATCACATGACGACTGTATTGCCAGCAAATTTTATGCCACTATTATGGTAAAACTAGGAGCACAGGATGTCAGGAAAAATTTAAACACTGTGAAAGGCAAAGAGAAGTGTTGCAGAGACCACACAACGATCAACTTACTTGACAAAGCATCAACTACTGGAGTGAATGGAGTGGAAATCGATATATTTTCTCTCTCTCTCTCTCAAATAGTTTGATTGCTAGGCTTGAAAATAAATGCAGTGTTTCTTAATATGTAATGCACTTGTTATATTCTACTGCGATGTATGTATAAATGTGCATCTTTCACAAGCAACATCTGTATAACTTAAGCATGGTTTAACAAGGCCCGCACATTCTTATAAAACTTAGTTGTAATTTTGCTAGCAATAAGATACTAAATCATCAAAATTTTCTGCTAGCAATTAATCATCTGAGATAATCCTGCACTATTTCTGCCTCGGAGGTGTGCGTGATATGTAAGGTTCGTGTGTACATTATGCAACCTCCCTAATGCTCATAGATTAGCATTGGAAATTGAAACATGCTACTGTCTTCATCTCTCTCTTTTCCTTTGTGCCAACACCGCACACTTTTTTTCAAAGAGATATAGAATTTAGTTTCATGTATGCACATGAATGTACACACAGTGTTATATATTACTGTTATGTAACTACGAGCGAATCATCAGACTGCAGTGTAGAGCAGAAATTACTGAGCATGCCTGAAGGCAGTTGGTAAGAAACATATGCTCAGATATATATTACTGTTCGAGTTCATGTGCATTGCACAGAACTGTACATATTGGGTGGTGAATCACATTTGTGAAGCAGTATCCAGGAGTGCAACAGCTACGCCAATTGTGCCAGTTTGATACAATTCCGAATTTTGGTGCCGAGCTGCGCAAAACCATAAAATTTGCTTAAATTGCCCCATGCTGTGCCAAAATGCCCGACCAGCCTCAAAGTTTTCTCAGTTGTGCCAATTTCAGTGAGAAACGGTAGCCACGTTGGCTATCTGCATGCAGTTTGCATCAGCAATCAATCCAAGCACGCAGACCCTGACCCTAAACCACAGTGTAAAATATATTCCCATTAGGTTAGGACGCTCGCGACATGCGATCGACCAGATAAAATAACATCGCCACCAGCTCGCCATCTGTTCGCTGCGGATACCTATCAGCGGAACGACGCAACTTAAAAACAAAAAAGCATTGCTGTAGCCGTCAACGCCCTAGTGAGCAAACGTGGCATAGCATGTTAGCAACTGAAGCTAGAAGCATGTGTCGCGTTTCCCGCGCTCGAACAGACTCGACGTGCTGCTAAAATTGTTGTTCCCCTGCGACCACTTTGGTTGACATAGTAATGGTACATAAAACATTTTTCTGTCTTAAAGTTGCGTCGTGCCGGCGATAGATATCCGGTGACGTTGCCAGGCCAACAGGCGCTCGTTGTATTTTATCTGGTCGAACGCGCCTTGCAAGCAAGCCAAGAAGTTGTGCCCTAAGCCTAATCCCATTGCGAAAAAAAAAAGGAACAAAAAGAGGGGGAGGTGGGCATAGCAGTCTTTCATGACTTGTTCTTCCTCGTGCAGAATTCTGCTTAATCCACCTTAGCTGCGGTACATCAATGCCCTGTGAAAAGCTGCATGATTATTTTGAAGGGGCTGTTAGCACTAATCACGCGACGCAGTACGTTTTGTTCAATTACTCATGCGTATGTACGGCACATAATTGTGAGTAATAGTAGGATCAATGACGTCTGAAAAATTTACTGGCAATCATTTGTAGCAGCATGTAAGATTTCTGGTGCCCTAATAAAAAGAACTGTGTGCCAGTTTTATTTTTCTGCCACCTATACGAATCTCCTGAATTTCGAGGTCGCCAGCCTGGCCGCTCCAAATCTGAATTCACAAAGTCAGTCGCACCAAATGCTAATGCGTTATCATTATTTGCTCAGTGAGGTGGTTCAAAATACTAATTTTATAGATACTTAATTATTGCTTAACTTATTGCTTATAAGCACAGAGCACAGTGTTTCAGTTGTTCTACCTATCAGTCATTCTACTTTTTGTTTTTCTCTATACATTTTTTTTTTTTTGCTGTATCGATGGTTGGCATTTAAGCATTTAGTCTTGTCAATGTGTCATGCATGACACATTGTGTCATTGCATGACATTTATTATTATTACCAATGTTTGTATCCACTCCTGATTGGGCCCTGAATGGGCCTGCAGTATTTTGATAAATAAAAATTAATAGAAATAGCAGTGTTCTTGCTCACACTGCACGATTTAGGGCATGTTGAATGGTTTGTACATAATTTTTTATTCTAAGTGTAAGACTCCTTTTTCATACTGATCCAGATTTGCTCTTTTGTAATAAAGGAATGTTTTGTTCTCTGTAATCTGCTCCAAACTTGGATTTTTGTGCTTCAAAAGTAACATTTTGGTGCTCCAAAAATTGCTCCAAATGCTATTTTGGCTGCTGCACCCTTGAGTATCCCTTTAGCATCTGAAGACGTGTCCATCTTTTATCTCTTGACACATTTTGTGTTAGGGTTCTCTTGCTTTGGGCTCTTTTCAAAGTGGATTTCCTTCGTTTCTGCAGGACTCAATCCCACAAGACTCGGGTAACAGCTGGAGCTCATGGGGTGTGGCCACAGGTCGACTTCTCCTTTCTGCTTACAACCTGGTAAGCACTCATCTCGTATCTTCTCTTGATGATTGATGATTGATATGTGGGGTTTAACGTCCCAAAACCACGATATGATTATGAGAGACGCCGTAGTGGAGGGCTCCGGAAATTTAGACCACCTGGGGTTCTTTAACGTGCACCCAAATCTGAGCACACGGGCCTACAACATTTCCGCCTCCATCGGAAATGCAGCCGCCGCAGCCGGGATTCGAACCCGCGCCCTGCGGGTCAGCAGCCGAGTACCTTAGCCACTAGACCACCGCGGCGGGGCGTATCTTCTCTTGTATTTTGCCTAATAGCTGAAGCTGTTAATTTTGTATAATTGTAGTAAGGTCACTAGCACAAAGTCACTTGTGCTAACACCACCTTGGAAGTTGCTTCACAATCTTACTGTGATATCACAGCTTTTAATAGAACCCATTAGGGCCTGAATAACTTTTTATAACTAAACATTTTATAAACTAATGAATGAAGCCAAAAAGTAATGTTGTAAATTTGAGTTTGAGATTACAAACATTTACAGTTGATCTGAATAAGAAAAAATACTTTCATAAAGATGAAACCAAACCAACAGAGCTGGGGTTTCTGTGCAAAATTTTCTCGACTGAACCTTGTCTTTTTTTTTGATCAGTTTTATTTGTAATGGAAGAATTCATGAAAATTGTGTTTTGGTATAAAGCTTTTCTCTGTTCAAACCAATGTACCCTTTAGCCTTTCTTTAAACACTGTAATTGTATTTGAGTTAATCTTGACTTACCCACGAACTTATCCGCAGGATGAAAAGTCCTTTTTAGATAGCCTGGCACAAGCACGAAGTCACCAGACAAGCCCTCTTGCAGCTGCAGCCATGGAACAGGAGGCTTACCAAAGGGGCTACCGTTACGTTTCCAGGTATGCACCGTGCACTTGTTAGCAGCTTGAACTACAACTTTGCTATCTCAGCCTGACAATAGGCAGAATTTTGTTTGTTTCTATTCTGTTCTTGTCTTTTGCATATTCTACAGAATGCAAATACAGGGTGCCTCAGCTAAAAAGCACCAAGTAATAAAATATCATACATGAGTGCTATGCATCTCCAATTAGTGCAGTATTGTTCTGGGCCATATAATAGGGCACATCAGACTTTTTTTTTTTTTGATCCACCAAGATGTGTAGTGCTCATGATTATTTATTATTACTTGGTGCTTTTTAACTGAAATACCTTGTATAATGCATATTCATAGAATTATTCAAGATATTAAGCAAAACTGGGGTGCCCTTTGTCCTAACAACAAATAAGTAACACAGACAGTGAAACTAGAAACTGACATCGTTTCACTGGTTTCTTATGTATAAATGTGCCCACTTCGGCACTGTTATGCCGAGGAGTCTAGACTGAACGTCATTGCTTCTGCAAAAGCAACCAGTGTCAAGGCCAGTGAGCGAGCCCGCCTCACGGTATCATCTCAACGATGTCACGCAACGCACGATCAGCTCCCTCAACCCATGGGCCTGATTCCCACCCGATGATGCAATCGATGCCATCCAGTCTGGCGCGTCTTATGCAACACGCGGCAATACCACTGTCTCATGGGTGCAATGCACGGTACCTGATTGGAGGAAGATGATGCCAGGATCAGCGGCGGTTCTGATTGGACGTTGCTGACGTAAAGACTCACCCGGGGCCTATAAAGTACCAAATGATGCGATGCTAAGCAGCAGACAATAGCGTCAGAGCGTCCGAAGACATCCCGGCTCTTCGAATCTCTATGCTATCGGCCCGGCCGGTGACCTTGGCAGCGGAGTGTTTCGTGGCAGTGGCACCCTTCATAACCTCGCGGCACAAGGCACACATAATTGGTGGTGCAACACACCCTATTGATATGTGCATTGCACACGGGGATCACCATGTTTTAATTTTGAAAGGAAGCACTGGGGGAGCCTGCGCCACGCCACGCCCCACTGTTGACGAAGGCTCAAGGATTGGCAATTATGCCTATCTACAAGCGCCTTACAGAGGAGAAACTCCTTATTCGGTGCCTTCATGGCAAGACACAGAATGCAGCCGAATCGCTGAACAGCAAGATATGGCTGCTATGTCCAAAAACAAAGTTCGCCTCCAGAACAACTGTGGAGACAGCCACCGCTCTTGCTGTACTCTGGTACAACAAAGGCCACAGGGGCTTTGAAGAAGTGCTCGAAGGCATTGGAATTCTCCCCTCACAAGATCTGGCCACACATGGTGACCACTGTGACGTCATGCGCATCAGGAAGATGAACCTGAAGCAAACTGCAGAAGCGAGGGCACACCGTCGCAACACAGCGAAGAGAGCTCGTGTTGAGGACACTGACCGCAAGAGCCGTGAAGGACCAAGCTATGGTGCAGGGGACTTCTAGACACTTGCAGTGCATTCAAGGCAAGGTACTTTTCATTGTGCCCCAATTTGATGCAAAAAGAATGATTTCCTAATAAATGCCAACTTTGCGAACTTTCAAACTTGTTTTTCTCATTTTCATTTTTTCTGACAGTTTCACGTTTTCCGGGCAGCCTTTTAGAAACTTATATTCATTGTATAGTAACGAAACTTGGCACACATATTCAACACATGCAGAATGCAAATATCTACTCTAAATTGCAATGCCTACCAGCATTAGTTGTGAAAATATTAGCTTATTGTTTCAAGGGAGATTGAAAATAATAAGTCATTCAATACAATTTTTTTTTTCTTGGTTCCAATATTTCTGTGACATATCTATATAGATATTTGCACTTTTCAATCTACCAAGAGTCAAATAAGATCAGACACAGTGCTTTTACTGAAAGTTTAGTACATAAAAGAGTGCCCGCAAAAAATGTAACTTTTTGCTATTGTTTATGGCATAACTCAATAATTATAGCAGCTACACAAAAAATGATTGCATATTTGAAATCTGCATGAAAAACTATAATAATAACAAACTTTTCAAGTCTCTATTACTAGAAATAAAAAAAAAACTTTTTCGAGGAGCGTCTCCCCTTAAGAAAGATTTCATTACAGATACCTGAGCAGGAGTGTTATCAAGCACTGAGGCAGACGCATAGAGATATGTTACACACTGCATCAAGGTTTAAAGTGGTGATGTTGATAAAAGTGGTTTAGCTAAGTCACAGGCATAAATTTTAAGTTCTCTGATTGACAGATCGGTCTCTTGCTAGAGTGACACGGGGGTTATGGCAGTCGATTGTGCATTCATGGTCGTGATAGGTGCATTCCTATGGAAACGCTGGTGCACTTGTGCACTTAGACGTAAAGGGGTAATGACACAACTTTGGCCTCGCGTTTTTCTACTGCAATGCGTTGCTGGGGGCCTGTTAGTCATGACACGACACATCGTCTGCTGCAGCACGTGACAGATAATTAATTTCAGGCCTGTCATTATCAATCAGTCTCAGTTTCGGTTTGAGAGAGCTCCAAAAACTGGGTACAACTGTCGCCACCTAGCGTGTGCATCTTGACCACGTCAGCACACAGAACTGTGATGCACTTCCGCACGGTCCGCATTAAGAATTACTTTTAAATAGGAAATGGGACTGGAATGTTGCCAAACACAAAACTTTCGAAGCGTGCGCCACGGCCACCCACTCGCAACTAGCCGCCGAGAAATAAAGACTTCGGGAACTATCCCGGCAAAAGAAAAAAGGCGGCTATGACGTCATCATAACTTGTTTTGTTGACCGCAGCGTGGTTACGTGAGGGAAGTAGGGGGTCACCTTGGGGTCACCTCTGAGGGTGTCTATAGCACTATGGAGTCGGTCGCTCACACAAACTTCAAAATTAATTTAAAATACCTTCCAAGCTATATTCGCTGTTTATATCTTGCAGATGATATACGAATGTTCACGAGAATCCCTTGGCCGCTGAAATTTTGTGCCAGTACCCCTTTAAATGAACTGTCTACCGTCCTTCATTGCTCCCCTGTTTTGTGTCGCAATAAAAAGCGTACCACGTGAAGTGTCCTTGCAGTGGTTTCTCTGGAAAGTGCATAGAAATTTTTAAAACAGAACTTTTCTGTCCGCGTTACGTCTCCTTCCATCGCTGGTATGAAAGCCCACGACACTTGTTGGTGCCTGGTGAAGTCGAAAACAGAAACTATGTGCGGTATTTGCAGGCTTCATCAAGTTTTGGTTATTAATAAAACAAATACCTTTGTAGTCGTTTCAAGCAGGCACACATTCTTTTGTTGTTCTCATGAGCGGCGGCGGACGCTGTGGTCGTGTTTCTTTGCCATTCAGGCAAGCGAGCACACCGCTGGCAGCACCACAAGGTGCCTATTTGAACGCGTGAGAAAAAAAAAAAGCCAAGATTGGTGTCTGGTGCAACTTAAAGCTGCCTCAAGTGCATAAATAACAATTTCAAGTTAAACGTGTTTGTTTTTGAGCAAAATAAGTCTTCCTGTGAGGATTTTTTGTCCTACCTATAGATTGTCAAGATTAACCACATTCGTTGTTGGGTGACGCTAGTGGTCACTTTTTATCGAGTTTCAACATCAAGTTAAAATTATAATTCTTTTTTTTCTGGCACGAAAGCATGCTCATTGCCGCTGATGTGGCGAAAAAAATTTTCCGAGCTGTAGACAGTCCCTTTAAGGCGCATGTTCAGAAACCCGGGTATGAAGATTACTGTATTTATTTGTGTAATGAACCCATCTTTTTTTCAGAAAAGTTTACGCCAATTTGGGGGGAGGGTACATTACGCGGCAGAAAAAAAAAAGTCAATGGAGTTATAACACCAAAAATTTCGCGTTACGGGTTTGCTTGTTTTGGCCCGTAAAATGCGCAACAAATCTTTTTTGTAGCCTGAAGCTCTTTTTGTTTCCTCGTGTAACGAAAGCGCATGGATCGACGCCGTAGTGTCGTTCAGCCACTTGGTTCTCATGCTGCAGCGCATGCTGTTTGTCACCAGCCATGTAGCTAGCGTACTGGCCTTGTGGGAGCAGCAGACCTTGTGGGTGCATGACGCGTTGTCGGCACGGTGGGTGCAATTGCGCTTTGCATGGCCTCCGAGACGGCAGGCGCGCGGCGTTTGGCCTCCATTGTGTGGCCTCCATTTCGGAGGCCACACGCTTTGTTTTTTTCCTTGTTTTCGTGCCACTGTGCTTGCGCGGCATTATCAGCAAAGAGGTTTTTCCTGTATTGAACAGGCGGTGCTTTGCCGACTTTCAAATTTAGCATGACTTTCAAATTTTGATTGACTTCGTCCACGCTCGTGCTGCTCGCAACTGTTTAACATGGTTGCGAAACTATGTTCTGACTTTTATTGCGTTGTTATTTTGTGATATAATGACTTGATTTAATGTTTTATTGATTGTCAACAGCACTGGCTATTTATTATACTGAAATAAAATGAACAGATACATTTACAAAATTGATTTTTTAAATTTTTTTAAGGACCAAGGTGGGCGTGGGTTCGTTATGTGAATAGGTTCATTACACAAGTAAATACGGCATTCCAATTCGAATTTGCTATACTTTCTCACTGCGGATTGTTGCTCTAGCTCGTCATGTCATCACGAATCCGTCAATTGAAGATTTGCCATCTGTTTCGTGCAGCGTTCACCACTGCTACTGGAACCTCTGTGGAATGTACGGCGCGCACTGCTCAGCATTGCCAGGAAGAAGCATCATGACCTGGAGGATGTTCTCCAAACAGAACTCGCCAAGTGCTGGCTCCAGAGTGCCAAGCTGGCACGAAAGTGAGTGCACTTCAGCAGTGCTTCAAAGTCTTATTTTTCATGCTATCATTAGTCCAGCTGTTGAATATGCCGACTGTACTTTTGGGAATGGAATATGGCACCACCCCTTGTCTCAAGTTAATCTCTTCCACGATTTGTGGGCTAGTTTTATTGCTGTGCGCCATTGGGTGTTACATGAATACATTTCAGGTAAATTTCTCAGTTAGCTGTTGATTTCAACTAATTGACAGGGCACTGCGGCATCGAAAACATGCGGATCACTCAAAACCCGCTTGTCTTTATTGCGCAGATCCTTAGCCTTCAGCAGGATCCAGTGTCATGGTGCTCAGAACCGCTCATGGCTGCTACCAGCATGCTTCACCTTGATGGACAGCCTCGGTGCGTGCTTCATGATCTCAACTGGCCGCCGTGGGAACGACTGAATCATCGCTCTACGTCACCGCGCATGGAGCGCTGCGCAGCACCACCACAGGCGGCGACACCGTGCTGGCCGGCTATAAAAGGGCTGCCAGCTTACTTTACGGCCACAGGGCACGACGGCATCGAAAACATGCGGATCACTCAAAACCCGCTTGTCTTGATTGCGCAGATCCTTAGCCTTCAGCAGGATCCAGTGTCATGGTGCTCCGAACCGCTCATGGCTGCTACCAGCATGCTTCACCTTGATGGACAGCCTCGGTGCGTGCTTCACGATCTCAACTGGCCGCCGTGGGAACGACTGAATCATCGCTCTACATCACCGCGCATGGAGCGCTGCGCAGCACCACCACAGGCGGCGACACCGTGCTGGCCGGCTATAAAAGGGCTGCCAGCTTACTTTACGGCCACAGGGCACGGCGGCATCGAAAACATGCGGATCACTCAAAACCCGCTTGTCTTGATTGCGCAGATCCTTAGCCTTCAGCAGGATCCAGTGTCATGGTGCTCGGAACCGCTCATGGCTGCTACCAGCATGCTTCACCTTGATGGACAGCCTCGGTGCGTGCTTCACGATCTCAACTGGCCGCCGTGGGAACGACTGAATCATCGCTCTACGTCACCGCGCATGGAGCGCTGCGCAGCACCACCACAGGCGGCGACCCCGTGCTGGCCGGCTAAAAAGGGCTGCCAGCTTACTTTACGGCCACACGGCACGGTGGCATCGAAAACATGCGGATCACTCAAAACCCGCTTGTCTTGATTGCGCAGATCCTTAGCCTTCAGCAGGATCCAGTGTCATGGTGCTCGGAACCGCTCATGGCTGCTACCAGCATGCTTCACCTTGATGGACAGCCTCGGTGCGTGCTTCACGATCTCAACTGGCCGCCGTGGGAACGACTGAATCATCGCTCTACGTCACCCCCGCATGGAGCGCTGCGCAGCACCACCACAGGCGGCGACACCGTGCTGGCCGGCTATAAAAGGGCTGCCAGCTTACTTTACGGCCACAGGGCACGGCGGCATCAAAAACATGCAGATCACTCAAAACCCGCTTGTCTTGATTGCGCAGGTAAGAGGGCATTACGGTAAATGCTTTCGTTCCGATAACCATTTTCTTTTGATGCTGCCGTGCCCTCGGCTGTGTGATATGTTAAATGTACTCACTTACTCGGCGAGGAAATTGCTGTTGCTTGGAGGTGACATAGAAGAAAATCGGGACCCAGACACAGCGCAAATTGCTAAACACCTTAAGGAAATTGCATCAGACATTAAAGAAATCAAGGAAACGCGTCTTCCAGACATTGAAAGGAAATTAGATTCGATTTCCGCTCTCGAACAAAGAGTAGCATTGTTTCAAGAGCAAATTAACTGCACGGAAAACACTATTAAAGTACTTGAATCAAAAATAGATGACATGGAAAACCATAGCAGACGCTCCAACTTGATCGTTTATGGACTTCCAGAAAACGAAGATGAAACTAACACCGCACTTGAAACTGCAGTAAATAAAGGTATTTTTCATGATATCCTTGAAATTGAGAGCGTACAAATCGAGCGTATACACCGACTAGGCACGCAACGACATGACTCGACGAGACCCGTCATTCTTAAACTGTTAGATTTAAGAAGTAAATACGTATGCAATACTAAAAAGAGGCTTTAAACTCAAGAACACGGACTATTCCATTGGTGAATATTTTTCCCAAAGAATTCGCGACGTCCGAAGGAAATTGTGGGCTAGTGTGAAGCAGAACCGTGACAAAAGAGAAAAGGTTTCACTAGCGTTCGATAAACTATACATAAACAACGTGCTTTACGTCTGGGATTATCATTTGAATGATAAAGTTCCGTTGCGAAAAAACGGCAATGCGGGCATGAACCACCCAAATACCAGAGGCTACACGCAGAAGCAAAGCAAGAATTGAGATTGAGGGGTGATAACGAGGGCCCTTCCACATCCGTTAAACGCATTCATTTATCTCGTCAAGTAGATCAGAATACCCGCAAATCTAAGAGACCGAAGGCAAAGAACTTGCGAATCCTAAATATAAACGCACGAAGCATTGTAAACAAAAAGATTCTATTGAGGCCACACTACTCGAATACGACCCGCACATTACTGTATTCACCGAAACCTGGTTACGAAATGAAATAAGTGATGATTTAGTTTTTCCCCCGAGTTACAGTGTCTTTCGTAAGGACAGGACGAATAAGGGCGGAGGTGTTGCTATCCTTGTCAAGCCTTCAATACAAGCCATTGTTTTAGCAGATGTCATTGACCTCGAGTGTTTGTGTATCAAAATAACTTGTTGGGATCAATGCTTTGTTCTATACGCGTGTTACAGACCACCAGACGCTGCTCCTGAATATTTGCTGAAATTGCAAGAACATATGACACAATTTCAGAGTAAAAAAAATTTTGTTATCGGGGATTTCAACTTACCGAATGTTGATTGGGAACTCCTTCAGACAAGCCGCAAATCGAACAAGAATGCTAGCATAGTCTTTCACATCATGCTTACTCACGACCTCGTTCAAGTGGTTAGGCAGCCTACTCGAGAACAAGGTTCGTCCAGCGCAATATTGGACTTAGCGTTCCTAAGCCGCGATATTTATGAATATACAGTTCTAATTGAAAGTGGCGTGTCTGGCCATCATCTTGTAAGTGTTACCATTCCCTTAATCAACTCAGTCGGTCACAAACGCACAACTACACGAAGCTTCAAGGATTACGCAAGATCTGATGATGCGTCTATTGTGCAGTACATGAGAAGTTGTTATGATGACTTTATTGAAAATGAGGGTGATGTTGATGCGCTATGGAACCAATTCACTAGAATGTGCAATCACTTTATAAGCCAATTCGTACCAACCAAATCTAAAAAGATTGCTAAAAGCACCCCATGGATTACGCGCAAAATCATCCATCTAAAACGCAAATTAAAATGGCTCAAAAAGAGTAATCCCCAATCAACTATTATTCAAGAACTTAAAATAAAATTGGCACGTGCTTTGCATGAATCAAAGGATTTTTACTTTAAAACAACACTGCCAAACTTTTTAAAAAACGATCCTACGAAGTTTTGGAACTTCCTGAGCGATAGTAAGAAGCAGGTATCACATATATTAGTCGATGGTAATACAGTTACAGATCTGAAGCTCATTTCGGAACATTTCAACAAATTTTTCCACAGCGTGTTTGCTAAGGCGAGTCTTAATACGCCTCAGCAAAGAGTGTTTCAGCCTAATGAAGTGGACTTTATATCATATTCTAGTGTTGTTGCAATGATCTTGAAGTTGAACACTAAATCATCTTGTGGTCCAGACAATATCCCTAATGTTTTTCTTCGCCGTTATGCAGAGAGTATTGCTCATTTTGTCACTGTGATCTTTCGATGTTCGCTGTTGAGTGCAAAACTACCCAGTGATTGGAAGAGGGCTCGTATTGTTCCTGTGTTTAAGAAAGGAAACCATTTACTCATAGAAAACTACCGTCCCATCTCATTAACATCACCAATATGTAAAATGCTTGAACATGCAATATCTAAGCGTATTGGGGAATTCCTCGAACAATACTCTATACTAACTAGTTTTCAGCATGGCTTTAGAAAAGGCTATTCAACCATAACTCAGTTAGTCTCAGTGGTTCATTCATTTGCAGACACTCTGGATAAAAATGGACAAATGGATGTCATATTCCTTGATTTTAGTAAGGCATTTGATAAAGTTATTCATCACAAACTACTTACAAAACTAAAGGACATCAATCTACCCGACATTTTCGTTGCCTGGATCCAACACTATTTAACAGAACGTTCACAGTTTGTTTTAGTAGATGGGAACAATTCGAGCTCTCTTCCTGTAACATCAGGCGTGCCACAGGGTAGCGTTCTGGGGCCGCTATTATTTTTAATTTATGCAAACAACATTGTAAACACAGTACTACCAGGAACTCAAATCAGGCTGTTCGCGGATGATTGTGTGCTATTTCCTCAAGTTACCTGTTCTAGTGATCAGCAGAACTTGAACTTGAGTCTTAATAACATACTAAACTGGAGTAATGACAATGGTATGGCACTCAACGCACAAAAAACTGTTTATCTTTGTATAACTCGTTCAAAAACACCTCTACATTTTACTTATAACCTCGGCTCATCATCACTACAACAGGTTAACAACTACAAATATCTAGGCGTAACAATAACTAATGACCTCTCTTGGAACTTACACATAGACAACGTATTTTCTGCTGCCTTCCGTAAGCTGTGTTCGCTAAAACATAAGCTTAGAAATTCTCCTTCTGACATAAAACTACTTAGCTACTTTACGTACATAAGACCAAAGCTAGAATATTCTTGTGTTGTATGGGACCGCTTTACTAAATCTAACATCAAAAAACTAGAAGCAGTGCAAAGAAAGGCTGTTAGGTTTGTTTATTTAAAGTTTAAAATTACGGAATCGCCGACTGAACTTATGACTGCTAACAACATTGAAACACTTGAATTACGGCGAAAAAGGAACTGCCTTAATCTTCTGTATCTTCTTGTTAATTATAAGTTAGCCCTTGACCCGCGTCCATATGTATCTCTTCTGTCCACTAGGCATACACGTCATCATCACACCCATTCTTTAACCCCGTATTTTGCTAAAGCCAACGCATTCCGATTTTCCTTTTTTTCGCGTACTGTATCAGAGTGGAACTGTCTAACTGATCTTAGCCAATTTTCTGTTGCTTAGAGCTAATCTACGCACTGTTAATTTTATGTTATGTATCCATAAAATGTAACATTTTTGCCATGTTATCTTTTATGTGTTCTAGTAGTCGGTGTTTCGATTCCATTTCTCGTGATATATTCTTATTTTTTCACATGTGTTTTTTGTTTATATCCTGCCTCTTGTACCTGTCCTGCTTGGACCAGTTCTTGGTCTGCAGTATTCAATAAATAAATAAAATAAATTAAATTTCTGAAGTTGCCTAGGTATGTTAATGACATAAAACAACTACTTCACACCCGAAATTAGCTTAGGAGTGTTATGTTATTGAAGAAAGTCCTTAAAATAAAAGACATGGCACATCCGTGTTCAGCCAGTGCTGCTTTTTGTTAAAAGTAAAGCATACTCATTTGCAACAAATTGAGCACCATAGGTGTTTGTTTCACAGTGTGTTCGATGAGCACTACGAAGTTTTTTTTTTAGCACTGTACGTTTAAGTTACGCAAACAAAGGTCATGGAGGAAGCAAGCTGTGCTCAAGTGTGTGGTGTAATGCAGATCTAGGATTTTTTGTGGCCATAGACACTCATTGCTAATGTGTCGACCCCCAGGAATGGCCATCTGCAGCAGGCCTACAGCTGCCTTTTGGAAACTGATGGCTGTGAACTGCCTGACATTTTTTTGGAAAAGGCTAAATGGCTGTGGGCAAAGGTATGTGGGTCTTGTGTCACTTGTAGAGACTGCCTTCACATGGTTAGAGCTGAAAGCATCGCTTGCAGGGAGAAAGAGAGCGTGCCCTTGCAGAACTTCATCGTGGCATCGAACGTCACTTTCCCGGCTGTACTACCGATAGCGGCAGCAGTGATTCATCTTCCACACCGGAAGAACGCTTCGCATGTGCCAAGGTCAGGCTCACCCATCTCTTCAAAACATGGTGCACTTAATTTGCTTGTTTATTTGTCGTGTGTCCTGTGTCCAAAACCACAATTGTGTGAAGAAAGAAAAAAAAACTAAGTAAATGAAAAACACCAAGGACACAATGGGGTTCGAACCTGGGGACCCTGTGTGCCAGACCAGTATTCTATCAAAGAGCCACCTCGGTGCTTGAAACCCCGTTGCAAACTGGCCTTGGGAAGCCTTGATGTCGAGACAAGAACTGCATTAATATGAGTAATAAAACGTTTTAGAACATCAAAGCAACAACCAGACGTCACACAATGCGAATTGCGTAACGAATGCTCTTACCCATTACAAAAGCTTTAGGCATAATTCTTCATTTTCATCAGCCACAGCATGAAAAATTTGCACAAAATTCCTTGCAAGTATTTAGCGGGTACCACGCTTCTCAGGAGAATGACAAAGGATGGCATAGTGAGTGCCTCTCTACCACACAGAAGTTATGATGATTTATGGCCCAGTGGGTACTTTTGCAAGTGTGCTTGCAGTAATTACCCAAGTAGCGTTTAACAAAGGCTCTCAAAGGTTGTCCTTCCAGCTTTCGCTGTGACTGTGCTGCACGTTCTGCGCAGGCCTGGAGGTCCTTTCACCCATTGTTTTGCTCACAAAATTCACTCTTTTATTCAAGGGACACTAAAGGCAACTATTAAGTCGGCGTTGATTGTTGAAATAGCAGTCCAGAAACTTCGTAGTGCTACTTTTGTCCTAAGGAAGGGCCTATTTTAAAATAAAATCGCATTTTAGTGGTCCGCATCGGGTCAGCGCACTTCAAATTACCCGCTTCAATGGAACGTCTGTCATCACTGTTGCCGTGCACAATCTTGCCCGGTTTTAATGCGCGGTCATCGACACTATAGTAGCAGCAGAGGGAAAGTAGCGGGAGCCGCAGCGGCAACAGCGGCCATTGAACAGTTTTTAGCCATGGCCTTTAATATTGCAGGCGTGATATGCTCAACTGGGCCCCGTTAGATGGCATGACCTGTCCAGTTTAACCACGTGAAAATTGAATTTTTGAGCCACTCGCTTCATTTCCCATAGTAACATCTGGCAGTTATTTTTTCCGTGAGTAAAACAGAAACGAAGAAGCAGCATTTTATTGTGTCTCTTGATGCACGGAAGGTTCTTTATTTAGTGCAGCTAGTTCGATTAGTAGTGATTAATTGTAGGCAGTTTGTCTGAGGTCATCGGGATCATTTTGAGAAAATCGCACTGCGGCGCGTGTATTCTTGTGCATTTACCTTAATTTCTCGGTAAGTAGGGCACTGCTGTTGATAATATTGTCGTTTTAGATGTTGTCATAGAGCTTTCACTTAGATGTGAATTGTTCTTTGACTTTAGTGTTCCTTCAAGTAACTAGCTGCTAGGTAGATAAATTATGGGCTGATGAGTTTTAACTTGCTGTAAAAATTGTCACTGCTCGGATAAGAAGAGATGTGCAAACAGTGCAATCTTATCATTTATCATATGAAGTATTCTTGTTTTGATTTTTTATTTCTCTGTTCATTGTTACTTGCAAAGTAAGTATGTTCTAGAGGGAACCACACTATTTTACTACTTTTTGAATATCTTCAGCACTACATTGTGTGGTGTTCATTTCACTCATTACAGTAACCAAAACTACCTTGTAGTCGAACCCCTTTTATAAGAGACACTGATACGAGAGACAAATGAGTATAAGAGACACAGTGCAGCTACAATAAAATACTTGTTAAGAAAATGCACACGTGGTACCCTGCTCATAAGAGGCATATCTCGTATTAAAGACAAGATTTGCTGCCCGGAGCATGCCTGCTATAAAGGGGTTCAACTGTAATATAGCTAAAGCAAATTCCACTTTGTATGTTACCTAACTAAATGCATGCCAGCCATAATATAATTCATGGTCCTACAACACCAAATTTGTTTTGCAGCATCAGGCAGCATTATGCTAAAAGTTCAATGTAATTTTGTTTTGTTCAGGATTCCTTCCTACATGTTTTAGCATCATTGATCCTCACTTGTGCTTGTACAGGCAATGAAATTGCCATCCAATAATCCTTCCAAAACAGAGCCTGTTCTTTGGTGTGCAGGCACGTCTGCTGTTGGCACGCTACAGTGAAGAGTCCGCAGCTGTGGAAAGTACACGCCTTGCGTTTTTGTACAAGAGTGCAGCACGGGCTTGCTCTACTTGGGAGGATGGATTATTTCACTTTGCCAAGTACTGCGACACAATGCTGCCCCTGAACGAAAAGCCAGAAAAGAAAGCGTGCGTTTGTTCAACAATTCGACAACTATGCATGGAATGGTGGTTTTATTCATATATGACATTAGTTTCTTGTTGTGTTCATATATCATGCACTGCTTTGGCATGTGGCTTCACCTTTGATGCCAATTTGCCAAACTTTTTTTTCACAAGATGGCCAACAAATATTGTTTGCTGCTCTCAGTCCTATTCAGTTTTCATTTTGTTAGCATTCCTTTGTATCAAAACAGAATGAATTCTTAAATCTGAATGTGGAAAAGTTGTAGTTAGAGCTGCTTAATTAATTTATACATTTTAAATTGACACACTTTATTGTGATCACACAGCCTTGTGATAAATAGATGCCTGGGCAGATAGACATTATTTTGTGATGATGGGACTTGAAAGATTATGCCAGCCTCAACACATTGAGTTGAGAGTTGGGGCAAATGCAAGTGATCCCACTCCTGCGCCAACTGCGCCAAAAAGCTCCAAATCAAATTTAATGCCCCATCCTGATAATATCGACGGAAATTGCGCCAAACTGCGTCAAAGTCGTATTTGCAAGCGTCTATCACCGGCAATATCCACGCTGGCGCATCAAAACAAGTGCATTTCTTTCTCGGGGCCACCGAAGTAACAATCACGTACCTGGAGTCATTCCGCTGAATAAACAGAGGCTGCGCTTGCGTCCTAAATAATCCACGATGCTATGTTTGGTGCTAACGCAACATTTGTTAACGGCAAAACGCGCTCTCTGCAGGGGCTCCTGACGTTTAGTCCAATCAGTAGCGGGAAACAACGGCGGCGATTCATCGGCGGACGTCGTCCGTTCGAGGAACGCTGTTGATAGCTCGTTTGAAGAGTTTCGCGAAACGTAACTGAAGCGATATTTACTAATAACTTCACGCGTGCCGCCAGAATGTCTGTCACGTCTACTTCAGGACAACGTGATCTAATTTTCTGTGCTTTGCGTCCACAGAAGAATACATAAACAATGGAAATGCATTGACACTTTTCCTCTAATATATTTTATTCCTGGGTATTCATACAGAAGAGCTTTTTTGTAATGCCTTCCACCAGCACATATGCGTTGATAATCGCTATTGCGGTAAAAGCCCCAAAAGAACCCGTCCTATCGAACTCGAGATTGCCAGGGCCCAAATACAAAATTTTCGCGTGCATTCTTTTGACATGTGATCTCATTAATGAAAGCATGCTTCCTGGTGGGAGCAGCCGCAATTCCGTTTTAATACACGCAGCTTTCAGTAGTGGGGCCATCGCTGGCGGCTCTTGTCACAAGGCCCACTGTGAAGCGATTACGCCATGTTACACTTCTGCCCCTCGCTTTCCAGGGTCAGTAGCTCAGGGTTAAAAAAAAAAGAACATCACGCCATCGCATTTATTGCTTTGTTTTTCTTTGTTGTTTTTTGTTTTTGTTTTTTTTTTTTTTGATTGGGGTTAGGGAGGCTGCGTCGCTTGAAAGAGGCAGTCGCTGGTGGGGGCTACATCTCGAGGTATAATAAGACTGTTCGCAAACGTTCTGTGCTACTAACCTCTGCTTCGCATTTAGACAACTGACAGCACGAAAACCGCTTCGGCAAATAGAGTGGTCATTGTCCCTTTAGCCAGCACTTTGTTGAGTTTTGGATATTGGGCCCAAAAGTTAGCATTTGTTAGTTTCAGTTAAGCTCTTAGCAATGAATCTTAGCAATACCAACAAATTGTATTGTTATACCAAATAATAAGGCTCGACGTCATCTGCGAGGAGCACTAGCGGCGGGGTTGCCATTTTAGAGGTCTGCACACGTGCAGAAAACTTGCTGCACACGAGGTGTTCGTTATCCGTACAGCGACTTGGATGACTAGAGACCCTTGGAACACCTTTTGCCCGCTGACACACATACAGATAGATTCAGACTTGCCTAGAGCGCCCAGCCTGTTGCTGCAGCTGCCATTTTTTTTTTCGAGAATATGTAAAGAGAGATACCGTAATGATATCAAACATATTCATACTGTGTGTTAATTCCTTGTGCTATAATGCAAGGATGAACAGAAGCTTGTAGCTAACGTGAGATAGAAGCTGCGGCCAACAAGAGTGTCGGCAGGCACCCGCTCCGCTGGTCTAGATAAGTGTGATTTTATGAACAACGAACGGCGCGTATGAACGGACCTCCAAAATTTGCACGAATATGGTGTGGCCGCCTTGCGATCAAAGCTCAGTGCTCACCCCTATATGGCCGTTCGAGAAAGCGAGGCACTTTCGCCCAGTCAATTTGCGTTGAGAGTAAAAGGTAGAAGGGTATACCATTAGTCTTTAATGCCTGCTAAAATGGCGGGTGCACCTGCGATCAGACCCTTAAAGTCAAACTTCATATGACGACAACAATGCCCCCCCCCCCCCCCTCCTTGCAGTCCTAGTTCCTTCCTGCTCCTTGAAGACGGGTCATGCGTTCCTCTCTGCTTGAGTAACAATCAATGGCACCCCTGACACGCGGAGTGGTGTTACCGCATTCGTCCTCCATGCAAAAAAAGGAGATAGGTCAGCTCTTTTTTTCTCTGCTTTAGCCACGTTCGTCGCCCCCATTCGCGCGCTTTTACCCGTGTGCTAGAACACGATGTGCGGAAGGATGTGATCAATTCGGACAGTAGACAAAACATGATGGTGATGGCCAGTGGTGCAGCCAGGGGGGCGGCGGACGCATCGGGAACGCCCCCCTTTTCCCCTTCGCGAAATTTTTTTTGCTGTGGCATATATAGCGCAAAATTACCCCAGCCCCCATGCAAGTCAAAGTGGCCCTCTGCAAAACAAAAAGCAAAAATATTTTTGCCTACACCCCTGGTGACGGTAATAGCCTGTCGAGAATGTACATGTAATTGCTATCGCAATAAAAACAAAGTGTCTCTCATCGTCGTGTTGTCTTAGGCGAATGCATAAGGTACCCCTTCAAGTTTTTTTTTTTTTCTTTGTGCACTGCTTTCAAGAGGACGATATAGGGGGTTTTTGGTGTATAGACAGAACGCTGTAGCTACATATTAAACACCGCTGTAAAAGGAAAATGTAGTTTGTTAAATTGTGCAGTTCCAGCACAGAGAGATGAGTGCTGGAGGAGATCAGCTTCATGAGACTAGCTGAATGACATCATGTTGCACCCAGCAATATAATCACTGGTGAATAAAAATAACCTTTTTTATCCTTAATTCATCTTAAAGAAATGCAGTTGGGACTGTGTGAGTCTCTAGTGTTGTACGCCATAGCGTTTGTCTACCACATCTGCTGATAACCACAAGGGTGTATTTAGAATGTTATTTTGTGTACTATTATATTCAACCAGTATTCTGCTTATTTGCTATGGAAATAGTCACTGTACAAATTTTTCCAGAATGCTCAGCAATGTGACATTACTTTTGCATCATCAACTGAAATGGGGAATGCTCCTAAGATGTTTGGCTTCATGAGGTTTGCGATCAATTGAAATATTTGTAGCTCTTCACAAGAGCACCAAAGTAATTATTCATGTTTTTGAATGTAAATGCAACTTGCTTCTCTTTCAGGATGTGAAGTTACCTGCTCTGAATTGCTCCAAAGTGCTCCAAAATGTAAATTTTGCTGCTCCGAAATTGGCTCCAAATCAGCAGACTGCAGTAGCATCACTGTGAATGACGCAATTGACGGTCAACCTTTTCATAGTGCGCTGTTTATCCAGGCTGTGTACTTACTATGGAGCCTGAATGTGTAAATGAACAGTGCAGAATAAAGTTCATTTGGCCAACATGTATAATTAATAAACAGCAGTTTAACGACATCCTCGAAGATAGATAATCATATGCAATCCCTCTATTTTGCCATTCCTAACGCATTCAGTCGACACTGATTATCGGGAGGTACAAACAACGCGGGCATTTGGTTTTAACAGTTGATCTCTTTCACTTGTATGTTTTCTCTGGGAGATCATGTTATTTTCTTTATCAAAATATGATAGATTTTATTCTCACTTTCAGGGACACGATGGTGCATGTAGTTCGGCACTATGGGGAATCTCTGCGTTACGGCTGCCAGCACATGTACCACTCCATGCCCCGCATGTTGTCCATTTGGTTTGACCTGGGCTCCCAAGTGGCTGAGATGAGCCACTCACGTCGCCCGCCTGCTGTACTTGAAAAGCTCGAGGGGTACCTCAAGACCATGACTGATAGAGTGCGTGCATGTACTCTGAAACATACAACAAACTTTAAGCATGTTTTTTTCAAGAGGTACTCGTGACATTAGTGATGACCTTGCGTCTTAATATATTTTTCACTCTTCCATTTTTTCAGAGCCACATGAAGACGTTGTCTCTCTATCTTTTTGTGACTGCAATTATCTTATTGAGCTTATGATTCAGCTTGATACCTTCTACCTCTCTTTCCATAAAGTTTACAAGTTTTAAAATTCCACAAATGTTACATCACATTGTAAAAAGATAAACCTGCAAGAATGTTTTGCTCACCTATTACCTCACCTTTCTTTGAATGTCTTCTCAATGTCTTCTCATAGGCTACTTGCTTTATGCAAAATCCCCAAGCAGGTGAAAACTGTCAATAATTGTTCAGCAAACTAGGAGCACAGGAGGAACACACACAAGAAGCAAAGAGAAGGCATACAGCACGAGCGCGAGTGCTGTGTGCCTCCTCTTTGCTTCTTGTGTGTGTTCCTCCTGCGCTCCCAGTTCACTGAACAATTATGAATCACCAACTAGCCCGCTTTTCTATCCTCTTAAAACTGTCAATGCCAAAGTCATTGAAAGTGCAACTGTTAACCAAATATATCTATTTTCTTGTAATGCTTGTTGCTTTTAAAAGTAAATCATCTTCATTAAAATGCGTGTGGACCCTGAAAAGGTGTGTGTTCCGGGCAAGTTATGCGGGCTGTCCTGTTCCCATACATGCTCAGGTTTTTTTCGAATGTTAAAATGGACAGGTTGGTCTCACTGTGGGCTCATAAAGTTTCACGTGAGAAGATTGGGCTTAGAGATTCTCCTTGCAACGGCTAACTTGTTTGTAGTACATGTTTGTAGTACATGTTTGTAGTGCATGTTTGTAGTATTTGTCTCATTCAATTACTAGTTAGCACATCCAAACCTCATTATAAGAAAGTTGTATCACGCCCCGCCACGGTGGTCTAGTGGCTAAGGTACTCGGCTGCTGACCCGCAGGTCGCGGGATCAAATCCCGGCTGTGGCGGCTGCATTTCCGATGGAGGCGGAAATGTTGTAGGCCCGTGTACTCAGATTTGGGTGCACGTTAAAGAACCCCAGGTGGTCGAAATTTCCAGAGCCCTCCACTACGGCGTCTCTCATAATCATATAGTGGTTTTGGGACGTTAAACCCCACAAATCAATCAATCAATCAGAAAGTTGTATCTCACAAGAAAGCAAGTTTGTTATATGCGAAAATTTGTTATAAAAGTGATTCCTAACACTGTATCTATTGCAGGACTATTTTTCATTTAGTTTGATATTACCTACATTTCGTTATATCTGTGTTCATTCTAATGAGGTTAGTCTGTTATGATTGACTAGGATTGATTAGCTTTATTATTCTCATTAGATGACAAGGGATTTTAAAGGCAACATTTTACTCACTGGCTTTTTGTTGCAAATTTGCTTTTGATATCGGCAGTGGTAGCAGTGCTTGTGTTTGCTCCTCACATCATATAGTTATGCCAGACAAAAGTGTCAGACTTTTCAGAAAAAGCTTGTGTGGGGGCTAGTTGGAACATACTGTACCTAAAGGCAGTGCTGCAAAGTTAAGGACCAAAAAAGAGCTGGACTATACTCAGACAAAGTGCATCTAACGACTGAATTTATTGAAATAAAACAAAAAAATAAAAAGAGGTTGAGGTGACACGCAAGCGAGAGGGCACTGCTGGCAAGCCACACACAATCCTAACGGGGTGCTATTTATGCAGTAAAACACGTGATTTTATCAAACTCAATATTATCGTTTTCCTTGCTTTGCACATGTACTGGATGTACAAGACACGCAGTGGTAAACCTATCTTGCCGTTTGAATCTTATTACACAAAACCTATAAAAAGTGGCATTGCAAAATCGTACATGTTGCAGGCGACTAAAAAAATCATGTTAGCACAAAACAGATGAAAGCATGACATTACAAATAGAGTGCTTAAGGAAGAGCTTTTATTCAAACGGGGTTTTGTAGGCTGTGGTGGAATGCTGCCTTAAAGAGATAAATAGCCCCGTGAAGGTAAGGGAAAGAAATAAGAACCCAGTGATGGTGTTGCTGTACATGCACACCACAGTGCATAGATTAACAAAAGTGGCTTCCCAGTATCGTGTGCGAGTGGTTTTCTCAGCACCCAAAAAATTGGCAGGCTTTTGTAGAAAGGTTAACTCTGAGGGTTGGGAAGGCGACGCTCAGGACGAAGCATGCAGTGTGAGACACATAAAGAACTTTGTTGAGTGCAAGGTAGAAGTAGTGTACAGTATTCCCTTGACCTGCGGGGCATCTTACATTGGGCAGACAGGCAGGTGCCTAGATAAAAAACTCCGGGAACACAATAATTTGTGTAGTGGGCTTGCAATAGAGGGGAATCTTGCTCAACACTGCTTCAATTGTAAGTGCCACTCAAACTTCATGGAAGCTGCAAACAGCAAAGACAAGATCAGAACAACAATCATTGAAGTTTCCTTTATGATGTCTGGGAAGTTTGGTGCATGCATTAGCACACCTTTAATAGCACTCACAGCTAGACAAGTGGCGTGTTTAGAGAGACAAATATAAATTTTTTGCAACACTAGTGCTATCTTTGACAAATGTACGAAGCATGGAAAACAATAATATTGAGTTTGATAAAAGCACGTGTTTTACTGCTTAGATAGCATCCTAGTAGGATTGTGCGTGATTTGCCTTCAGGGCCCTCGCCTTTGTATGTTTCCCCACCTCCTTCTTGGTATTTTTGTTTGAACAAAATTTAGTTATTGGATGCGCTTTGTCTGTGTATAGTCCAGATTTTTTGAACCTTAACTTTGCAGCACTGCCTTTACCTACAGTATGAGACCCTTATTTCGCTTTCCCGTTTACTGGAAGAGTAACAGTGATGGAAGTGCTGCTCTAATTGCTCCAAACTGCTCCAAAAGAGAACTGCTGCTCCACGCTGCTCCAAACAGCAATTTTTGTTAGCAGTTGCTAGAGATCTGCTCCGAAATGACACTGAGATAATGAAAATCACGAACCTTTACTGTTTAACCGACTGATAATTAAAGAAACTGAAAAGAATCTGTGTGCTATCACCCACTGGGCTACTATTGTGCAGCATTATCCGCTCTGATCTCATTTGTACGACAAAAACTGGCATAAAAAGCATATAGCTTGGCTGTTTTTTTTCTCAGCTAGGCATGCAGGCTAGTATAGTGAAATGTGAAAAATGAGCAGGATTGCGTTTATCTCATACCAATTATCTACTGCTTGTTCGGCAGCAGTTATATGGGACACTCAGCTTTTCTGCTTTAATTTTATTTCTGCCACAAATACTAATATCTTTAGTTGTAGCTCATTTCACAGCACATTTTTGACGACCTGTTATTGTTTGCTACATTAAATTTACACTGATAGTTGTCCGTTAAACATATTTTATAAGAAATATTAATATTTATGAGATTCTACAACACTTCTCTGAACTCCAATTAATATATGGCTAATTTAATATCTGCTTCTAAAACACCAATAGCTGCTCTAAACGTGTTTTTCTGCTTCGAAAACACTTATGGCTGCTCTGCAGCACTTTTCCTACTCCAAAGTAGGCTCCAAAAAGTAAAAAGTCACTTCCATTACTGGTGTAAGTATAGCTCTGTATCATGTAATTAAATTAAACGTGAAGTTTCACACTTACATGTTGCAAATAATAAAATTATTTACATAAAAAGTGTTACATACAAAATTATTTACATAAAATTATTTACATAAAATTATTAATATTTCATCACAAGATTAAGAGTGCCTGCCTTGTTATATAGGCATAAGTACCTCATGGATTAAGAATGAGTGCACCTGCTGGTATGCCTCTGTAAAAAAGATTGCATAGGATTTTGCCTGTAATGTCATCCCTGTGTTGTATATTGCATTTATCCTATCCCTGTGCTTCTTTATTTTTTCTTGCTTGTTTATAGCAAACTATGGCTGCATTTTTTTCCTTTGTTATATGCTTACTGTTCATGAAAATCAAATTTTATGTGTAAATCACTACCTGTTTAAGTAATCTTCCATGGTCCCTTGTTATGGGTACTGGTCACTTTTCTGCAGATGTGCCCCAATTTATTCACACAACTGTTTTCTTGCGCAACTTATGTGAGCCTCCTTCCCATGTTTCTCCAGGCACTGGGTCTGCTCCTAAATCAGCTTCCACCGTACCTGTTCTTCACTGCAATGCCACAGCTCATCTCGAGGATCTGCCATTCTCACGAGCGGGTGTCAGCCATGCTCAAGGTGCTCCACCACATTCACATTGCTAGAGTTGAAAACGGGAGCACATCTGCATCTCCCCATTTCTTTTGCTCGAGAACTTATTGCTTATGCTCTTGTAAATTGGGTTAATATAGTGTCAAGTTCAGCAAGTTTACCTTTACTGTTCGTGTCATTTCTGGGTCGTTGCAAGCAAAAGGCTACAGCGCACTGCAGCATCAGTTACAGTTTAGCACTTGTCTTGTGTATACTTCTGTCGTCCCCGTCACTTTAGCCTTTCGTGATGCAGTACCAACTAGCCATACTCGTTCCTCTTTTCTTTTTCCTCTTGTTTTCAAATGCCAAGGGAAAACATTATTTCTCTGATAAAAAAAGCCGTCGGCCAGATATGTACAACAGATGTGTAATATGCCAGCTGACTTACCCATTGGCAGTGTCATCAGTTCCGGGGGCACTCTGAGAGTATCACTTTTGGCAACGACCTTGCTTTGCAGGACATAGAACCTTTTGTGCCCAATGATTTGAAGTGTCTACTTGTCCGTCCTTCCTCAACCAGCCAGACAGTATGCAGCGAAAGTTATATTATGGCGATATTTCTAAAGGGACTCGCATGGAATGCTACCCCAGATTAAATGTCACTGCAGAGCAGCTCACCACCAAAGTTGCAGCCAATCCGCTAGTGTGCACTTGCTCAACACATTACAGCTTTCCTACCTAACTTGACAGGAATACTTTTTGTCTATATTAGCTTCAACTGATTCCTTGTTATTTTCCTTTCGCTGCCCCATGTTTCTGTTTTCTGCTTAGGAGATCATAGCTCGCCTGCTTGCCACCTACGCACCACAGGCAGTGTGGATGATGATTGCAGTTTCTAAGGTAACGTTCACTTGTTCCTCTGCCACTTGTTTAAATATTGGTAGTGATATCTTTGCTGTTTGTCGTGGCTGTTGTTAAAGCATTTTTGCAGCACATTTTAGTCATTTGACTGTTCTTTTTTTCTTTTCAGTATGTTTTCATAATAGAAACAAACTTGCACAGGCCCGAATGTCCAAATCATGAACAGCTATTGTTTTATTAATTTAATTTTTTTTACAAAATAATTAGTTGAATGGCAGCTCAAAGGTACCAGTTATTAGGGGTTTTCATAAAAAATAATTGGGTCACACTCATTACAAAGCTGTGAGTTGTCATAGAAGACATCCAGAGAGGGGAAATGGAAGGTATTTTCAGAAGTCCATAAGAGGCAAAACTGAAAGAAAAAAAAAAGAAAAAACTTTCGACAAGGCAAGGAGGTTAATTTTAAACAGCTTCAGTATGGTAAGTTATGTTCTTAATGGAAACAGTTAGATATGCCACAAAAAAAAAAGAAAAAAAAAGCTTACAAAATTCACATTTTGGGCTCTGAAACCAAAAAAACAGCGTCGGTGCTACTTTCCAGAAATGATGTACATTCCAGAATGTAAAGATTAACCAGTGTCCCCTTCAGTTTTATTGAGATTGTTTGTGCAGTAAGTAACATTCATTTATAACTGATACGGTTAAGGCAGAATTTCCATCAGTGGGCCTTTCAAGAGGCACAATTGCCGCAACCAGCCTTAAGATGAGTTTTGTCTATAGTAGTAATCTCATTATGTAACAGCCTCATGGGTCTACTTGGTTTATTGAGCAGTGTTCTTTGTTGAGATATTTTGCATCTGCACAGTGTATTTTGCTTGTGCATTTGGGGTGGAAGGACGAAGGACTGTTCACAGTAGTTGCAGGAAGAGCATCTCACGCCACATTGAGGACCAGAGACAACCGAGTAACTCAAATGACGAATCGAACTCGTGCAGTCCTCATACCCGATGCGGGTGCGGCGCTGTCAAGAGGTATTTCAGCTGGCACGGCAGCAGAACCCAAGCCTGGCTAAGTTCCTGAACGACACACTGGCCCTCTGCGAGAGGCTCCTTGAATTGTGCAACCGGCCAGTCGGGGAGACCAACGTCCTTCAAATCTCACAGCACGTCAAAGGCTTTCACGAGATGCTGAGGGGACCGTAAGCTTCTAGACTTGCCCATGTTATTGCCCTTTGCCATAATTTAGCTTAACTTGGTCATTAAAGTTTCGAGTTGGGCAAGTTAGGACTAATCATTCACAATGGTATTCAGTGCAAACACGAAACAAGGGACAAGGGAACAAGGACACAATGCTGCGTCATTGCTCTCGGGTCCCCATGATTGGTGCTCGCACTCAGTACCACGACGCATTAAGCTAACCTTAGAAAAGTTAGGCGGGCATGCATTCGAGGGAAACCTACGTGTAATGCAACGAAGCTTCTTTAATGTTCGTGTCTGCATGCCTGACTTTCTCTATGATAAATGCCCACCGACTGGCTCAGCTATCGATCCTTCTAAACTTAGTTGTACTTAGTTCCAGTGTTCGTACTACCATTAAGGGGGTGATGAGGATCTTAAAATAGCACAAATTGTAAAAAATGCTCACTTTCAAGAATTGCAATTTGAGGTATTTACAATCGAGAGCATGTTTTTGAAAAATTTTATATTATGCCAAATATCATTTCTTTTTGTTAAAAGCCTAATATATGAAATAAGAAATGTTTTTAATACTGGAAACGTAATTTTCTTAGCATTGTTATTTTTGTGAAGTGAATCTGCCTTACGGAAGTTTTGAGCAAGTTTCTGTGAAGATATATAAACAAACGTTGTACTATACTTTTCCGCAGCATTTGAGCTAAAGCTTTTCTTTTTCTCTCAACCTTGATAGAATTGTTGTAATTATATGATAAATACGAGCTAATTAATGGAAGCTCATTTTTACCTTCCAAGTTCAAGAATTATTTCTGATGAAAGAAATAGCCATTTTGACTCTTAGTTTGCTTTAGCCTGTGGGATGAACCTTTTAGAGAAAACATGTAGTTTTGACGACTAACTTTATTTATTGCGAGTTACCATAACAACCCATGAGAAATTGTCTAATTATAATGGGAAAATTTGTCATGACATTTTTTTCTAAATTAGATATTTGAAATCTTTTTGCAAATTTGAAATCTCCATTTAATGGTACGCATGCGTGGTAATTTTCATGACAGTAGGATTAAAAATAGAAAAAAAATTTTAAGACCCTCGTACCCCTTAGGATTACTTTTAATGAATTTTGGCTTGTAATTGGGGAGAAATCTGCAAGATTGTTTGAGATAATTTTCTATCATTTACAAATGCAATAGTGTAGTTATTTTTATACCAATTAACAGTCAAGTAAACTTGAGCTAATCATTCTCACAATTTTTTAAAAAATTAAGGACTTTTGTCCATTTAGTTGTTCTTTTTCTGAGGCTGGTAACAGCATAATTCATCATTTTGTTCTATTTGTCATTGTGCTTTTTGCTGGCAGTGATATTGCTTAGTGGCACAATATGCAATAATACGCTGAGAGCACTAAACAGTTTGAGCTTTCTATGTATAACCACAGGCCACTCGTGCTGTCTTATGTGTAGGAGTTTCAGCCGCATCCTACTGCCTCTGCAGTCGGCCACATCAGTGTCACTCCCAGCAGCTGGCACGCCCAGGGACCACAAGCCATTCCCACAGACACCCGTCCACTTGGTTTCAATCAATGACCGGGTAAATGGCAAATCTGCTTGTATAGTAACGAATAGTCTTTCTAAAAGCTTCTACAGAGTGTTTTTATTTGCCTTACACTTTTCACACCGGTAACTTACCTAATTTACGTGATTGTAAATCAACTCAAATGTAGGTCGACCCCACTAAAATCGCACGGAAAGAAAAAAAAAAGGAAGAAAGATAAATAGAAGGGCACGAGCACATACCATACTGGCCCACCGTGAAGCCTTCAGTGTACCTAGGTGGTTTCACGGCAGTGCTGTGAAAAAAAAGCTAGCTTTGCGGAAATGTGTGGGGATGATTTTCATAAAGACTTGACAACCGAAACAAGTTTTGGTTCTAGGGCGACTTCCCAACTTCGGATTTCAAATTGACAAAATCGATCGACCTGCAATCGTGTAAATATGGTCGTAGATGTGGTATTACCCTACAAAGGTCAAGGTTGCAGGTTTGATTTTAATTGAGACAATCGTGTTTTGATGGAGTTGAAATGTTAAAACATTCATGGGAGCAGGAAACAATGCCAGATGGTCAGAACTAATATGGAGCTCAGTGCAGCAGCAGCAGCTTACTTACTAAGGCATGGGCCATATTTGCCACCATTATGTCATATTTTATATTCAGTTTGTAACTTGTATGTCCATTTATAATTCTGGCTCAATCAGTCATAATAACCTCGTAACTTGAATAGTCTTTCCTATATGAAGCTTATCACTAAATACATCGTCAATCTATATACTATCATGACATCTAGCCATGCAGAAAATAATGTAAGTTAACTGTGTGAGAATGAGTTGTGGGATAAAAGTGTCTTCTGAGGGATACCTGCATTGGAGAACTTTCTCCTGCAGGCAGGTTAGCTTCATCTTGCATACCAATGACTGCAGCCCACCATGTTTGTGATGCTACAACAAGCTTCAGAACTAATAAAACATTTGTTGTCTCTGATTTCAGGTTGATGTGCTCTCTTCACTACAGAAACCGAAAAAGATCAGTGTGAAAGGCAGCGACGGCAAGACTTATGCTATGATGCTGAAGCCAAAAGTTAGTCACTTAAACACAGCCATCTCTTTCTCTTCATAATATTTTCCAAAGACATACCTAGTAATATTTATCTTTGCAGTCTGATCTTTGGGCAAATATCCCACTTCTCACAAGTGTTCTGAAACACATTGTTATAAAATGAAAAGAAAATCTGCATCATATAATAATATATGGATGTGTGTTTGTGATAAAAATCCTATAACAGTAAGGCTCCTGTCGTCTTGTAGAAATACTTCGCCCAAATTAACATCACACTATTGTGACTAATCAACAAAACTTGTTAATTACCTCTTTAATTATTGACTTGAGGACAAGTGTTTTATATTACAAAGTGGTATTGTGTGCCAATTTATAGCATACTTATGTTTTGGAGAGCTCAAAAGTTGCATGTAGTTTGAAATAATTATCATCAAACTTGACAGGCAAAGTTTAAACTGATCGCGCCCGGCACACACCTGACGCAACAGAACACAGGCGTGAAACATGACAGGGAAGTGACAAAATTTGAGTGAAGGCGCGCCAAAGCAGAATCTGGTCAGAAAAATTTGCAAACATTCTTAAATACGTTAGCGGATAGCTTAATGTTTGCATGCGATGAATGGGGCATATCTGCGTCTTTCATAAATAACGAGGTCCGAAAAACTGTTTCAGCTGCGTGCAAGAAGAGGTGTTGCAGTAGCTGTCCCAGTGTTCTATGCTTTCATACAAAGAACAGGTTGCTATTCTAGTTTTTCTGAGCATATTTCGACAAAATGAGATAAGTATGAAACACTACACGTGGAATAAGGCAATGTGCAGGCATAATTGAGATGACTTGCAGCTTTTCAGAAAAACATGCAGCCGCATCGTACTGTCATTCAAATGTTTTGTTACTTCCATGTTACGTACAGTTCCGGTCTGACCCAGAATGGTTGGGCTTTGTGCGCGCCTTGAGCGATCAGCTTTATTTTGCCCGTCAAGTTCGAAGATGATCTCAAACTAAGTGCACATTGTACAATTTCTAAAAAGTAGATATGACATGCACTGCAACTTTGTAATATAAGCACTTGCCCTCAAGACTATAATTAGCATGCTAGTTAATAGGTTTTTGTCAATTAGTCGCAACAGTGTCATGCTAACTCAGCATAGTATTTCCACCTCGACGTAGAGTTCACATGCGAAAACGACAGGAGCCTTACTGTGTGTGTGCATGCATGTGTGTGCGTGCGTACATGATGCACATCGTATTATGCACAGAATAGTATGTGTGTGTGTATATATATGCTTAGTGTATGGTGCGATTTAGATGCCGTTATGTGCAAGGACACATCATGCTGTATTGTGGGAGAGCCCATCATTGTAAGGTAGCCATACTTCTGTGGACACAATGTTGTGAAACAAGAGAGCACTTTTTAGTAGAACGCCCCTGATGGCACATCAATATCTTTTCCGGTTTGCAGCCCACTGCCATAGAACTATGCAGTCCTGTGCTGCTTCGAAAACGCACTGCTTGGAAATTGCAGCTAACATAGCTGTGCCACAAATAATAGTTAAAACTGTTGCAAAACACTTTTTTGGGAAATTTATTAGCAACATACGATCACATGCTCGAGTGTTATTACTTGAAACTTTGAGGCTGGTACTCTTGGTGAAAAATTTGTCCACTTAGCATATTTAGACACTTTTCTCTAAACACTGAAGGCATCCAAGAGCCAAAAAAGTATGGCAGCTTCATCAATGGCCTATGTCGACAAAGTAAATAGAGCCTGCGTATTTCTGCAGTTACCAGTTTCTGGGCTTGTTGGAGGTGCATATGTGATGCAGATACTATACGAAATGTATGATTTCAAAGTGGCCTAAGATTGTAAGTTAAACATCTTCAGTATCTGTCAAACCTGCACTTCTCCAGACTCATTTACAAAAAAATATCGATGTGTTTTGCTTGACTGCACAGGATGACCTTCGCAAGGACTGCCGGCTGATGGAGTTCAATAACCTCATGAACCGCTATCTCAAGCAGAGCGCTGAAGGTCTCAAGCGCAGGTTACACATACGCACCTACGTATGTAGTGTCTTGTAAATACTTTCACTTGACACATAGCAGAGTGATTATTGCATACAATAATTCCTTTGTCAAAGAATTATTGGGATAATGCTCAATATACAAGTTTTTTGTTCTCGAGGTCAACTTTTCAATGCATTCTTAGTCATCTTGTGGACACTAAAGCAAAGCACTAAATCTCATTAGTCTGCATAATATGAAGGTTGTGGGTTTGTAACTCCATGGTGACAAGTTCGGTTTTTTTTCTTAATTACTGCACATCATTTAAAAACTACAAGTAATCACTTCTATGCTTTCCTCTTAGAATGTTTATTCTTTGACCTGGTATAATTGTGTCTAACAAAACTGATTCCCTTGGTCAATACCCATTCTAGTCTGCTAAAGTACCTAGTATTCCTTCAGAGCTCTGTTTTTGTGAATATCACGCAGGCTGCATGGTATAATTTTAACATTGTGTGTTGTTTGCAATTTTTTCTCTTTCTTTAATTTTTTTTCCTTTCTCTCTGTCGCTGTTATTATTATTTTTTTAAATCTGGGCACAGAATGTGGTTCCCCTGAACGAGGAGTGTGGGCTCATTGAGTGGATTCCAGACCTGCAGGGATATCGGCTCATTCTGAACCGCATCTACCGCGAGAAAGGTTTGCTCGTATCCAGCAAGGAGATAAAGGAGATGATGCCTGACCTCAGCACCACTGTTGAGTGCGTATCATGTTGCCATTTATGTTTACACTTTGCAAGTACTACAGCACATCTATGTTGCATAACTTCGTTGAGTAAAAGGTTGTTCAGTAAATAATGGTGGTTTAGTAAGGAATATCACTCGAAGCTAATTTGAAACAGAACACCTGTCGGGCATGTCACTTTGGCGAAGCATTAGTACCAGTGAAATATCGTCTGACAACTTTTTATCACGGCTGTCTTCAAGTTTCTATGTTCTGCTCTTTATAATGTTACTTGGAAAAAGAAAAAAAAAAACAGTTACTGTGTGTTACAAAAAGAAATGCATCGTTGGGGAAATGGCATGAAATTTAATACACCTATTCAGTTTTTTCCACAGATATGAACATTTTTTTTCACAGATGTGGAATCTCTAAGTGGATTCTTTAATAGCTGCATTAGAAGAAAAGATATGCAATATCTAACACATATTTATAATTTAGGCATACTTGTTATGGGTATTTTGGTATTTTGGCAACTCCGCTTCGTCAAAAGCAGCAACAAAGTATGTGGCAAGATTGCCATGAAGGTGGTCTAGCCGGTCATACTAATTATTTTTTTATAACGCTCACCAAATTTTCGTTGATCAGAAATAGTGTGCAGCAAGAAACTGTCGCTCATATTTGCGTCTATTTAGTACCTTGCATTTATACTTCATTGAAAACATTTAGATTACCATCACCAGCTAACCAACTCTCTAACGGTCTTGCCACCTTATATATACGTACATATATTGTTTGACAAAGCTGGGTTGCCATAAATCGCCATAAGAAATATGTTTTTCGAAATGGCACATCTTTTGTTCTAATGCACTTACCAAAAATACAAATAGATATTAGGAATCTGCATAAAAAAATTTAATAAAGAGATCCACATCTCCCCTTAAGCAATGAAACTGTGTGCTTTGGTAAATGAAAATTGCAAATTACTTTCACCCTAATTTATATTTGCATTTGTTTTCTGCACAGGAAGAAACTGGCCATATTCAAGGAAAAGTTCCTTCCTCGATTCCCCCCTGTTTTCTATGAGTGGTTTCACAAGAACTTCCCCGACCCAACTGCCTGGTAAGTAAAATGGTCTAAACCTGATCGTTGCAGCTTGCTGGTGCGTAAAGTTCGTACGAACTTTTTAAAAAGTTTTTGTGAACTGCTGCTAGCAAAAATGTTGCATTTCTTCCCTGCAAGACTTCCAGTTTTATAGATCGAAGGACTTCAGGTGACCTTATGGTTGTATGTTCATAATCATAATCGCATAAAACTGAAAAAAATTTGCTTTTCAAGCTGATAATTCACACGCTTGTAACAAATGCACCTTCGACATAGATACGGGCTTTTAAGGTGCAGATTCTAATAAATATCAGCAAAATTCAAGTGTAGCAGTCACGTGTACCATTATACCAGTGTGAGCAGGAAAGGTTTGGCCTCCCCCTCTCCCACAAATGCTGTGTTGTAATGTTTTGATTTTGCCTGTGTATATGAGTGTGCACAAATACGAATGCATACCTGCCAACCCTCCCGAATTTCGACCTAATCTCCCGATTCTACGAATGTTATATCAAATCTCCCGAAAAGTGACCGTTACAGAGCCCCCTCCCCCCCCCCCCTTTTTTTTAAAAAAATACGCGTCTGTCGACCGCTCCTGCTGCGACAGTTGGTGTGCTGCGGAGCAATCCAACCACGCATGTCACAGGGATGTGTTGTCATGGTGCTGCCACGATATGTCTTCGCGCCCGATACTTTCAAGTGTTTCTGGACTCTCACGCAACTGAGCTTTCGGGGTTTGTAACTTTCTGAAAGGTGGCAAGTATGAATTCTCTATACACCACGAGCACCTGTGATGTGATCACATCGTGCGGTGGCAAGGCCGACATATAAAGCAGGACAATATCGAAAGTTTCTTCTAAAAAAGCTACTAAGATATTGCGATCAATGTGGAATGGCCATTCACAGGATTTCTTGTGGAACGCCATGTGCTGTTTTGTGTTAGTGATCAATCATCACGCATGGCCATTGTTTCGGAAAATGCTCCCGAAGTGCTAGGGTGCGAAGCAATACGGGTGCAGAAATACGAGAACAACTGCTTTCATCGGGAAATGGCTGCAGATGCCGAAAGTACAATGCGTCGAGGCCCTGAACCACCGTACTTCTGTAGTGGCAGTGTAGGGAAGCAACGCCAACGCTTTGCAAATTTCTCAGTCTCAATAATGGCAGATATGCAAAAAAAAAAAAAGATCTCCCCTCTCCCCCTTCGCTGCAGCCTCCCAAATTTTCATGCTTCTAAGTTGGCAGGTATGCTAATGCTTTCTGCATGCATTCAAGAGAGTGGTTGAATTCACAGGAAAAAAATTCCTGGCTGCTACAGTGATGTATAGTTTTTATGTGTGCTCTTACGTGTCTTAATCTCTCAGGTACACTGCAAGGCAGTCATATGCACAGACAGTCGCTGTGATGAGCATTGTTGGTTTCATCCTGGGCCTGGGTGACCGACATGGCGAGAACATCCTCTTTGACGCTTCATGTGGAGACGCCGTTCATGTTGATTTCAACTGTCTCTTCAACAAGGCACGAAATCTTTCCCATGTTATGGTTATCGGGGCTGCAAAGTACTTGTGTGCTTCACTTCCTTCATATCTAGGATCTATTAAGGAATCTCGGGCTGACAACTTTTCAGGGGACTCGTTTTCTTGTGAGCATTTAAGAGCGTTGCCTTCACAAAATTTTACAAACGTGTTGCTCATGAGATTCAGAATAATGCGTGCCAGTACTTGCAATGCTTGTTAGTTTTGTGCTCGACATTTACACATTGAGCAATTCATTTTGCAAGTAATTCATTACACACTGATGTCAGCTAGAAACATTATGTATTTACCTCATTATGTTAATGATGGTTGGGTTGCATATGCCTCCTGCTTTCATTAAAGGTGCAGTGTTGCTGTCATAGTTACCGTATTTACTCGAATCTAGGCTGACCTCGATCCTAAGTCCTAAGCCCAGAAAAAAAAAAACTTGCCTCGAATGAAAGCCGAACTAAACAGCAAAGACATTGCTTGCAAAGAGAAAACATTTATTGAACATGAAGATGAAACAAAGCTGTTGGTTTGTGATGCAAATAACTCGAGAAACCTACAGCCACTAGTCTCGTTGTGTGTATATTTTTGTCATTTTTTTGTTTTGTTTTTTTCTTGCTCTGCTTCAAGTTATTTGCATCATAAAGAGGCGGCACTTGCCGATGGCATGCTCATTCCAAGTTGTTGTCACTGACTTCTTTGTTGCTGTCTTCAAACAGTGCACAATCCTCGGTGTCATCAAGCACACTAGATATGCCGCACTTCTTGAAAGAGCACACAACCAATGTTCCTGGGATGTCTTCCCACTCTGTAGCTCCTCCAGCAACGCACATTCTTTCGTCCATTCTGCAGTACCACCGAGCTTGAACGTTGGACGACTCTGTGGCTAGGACAACTTTCCTTTGATAAGCAGCACTATAATGAATTGCCATTGAGCTACACCACACACAGACCACTTGAAGCACGACTCGAAATGATGGCTTGCTCCAACACTCGCCACAAACATCAAAATGGCGACCTCATGTGCGTACTTAAGCCAGATACTGTCTTGACTACTAACGACTGTAGTACCGTCTAGGTGGCACTAATTGCGCCCACTTTTTAAGATGAAAAAGGTTGCATTTTTCACAATCCTCAAATCTAAGCCGATTCTGCAGTTCGATGCAGAGAAATTTGAAAAAAAAAAAAAAACTATAAGCCTAGATTCGAATAAATACTATTTTGCTATGCATTCCTTCAGACGTTGACATGCCACTGTTCTTACAAACTGTTGAAGTATTGCTCCTATTTCACCTGTGTATCATTGAATTTTTTTTACTTAATTGCTGCACACATATGTTCAGAACAATACGGAAACTTGAGGGGGAAAAATACGCGAACCTGTATAGGTCACTGGAGCATATGTTTATACAACTGTTGACCTCCAAGAGCACCTTGTGTTCAAGAATATTTCATCTATATGACATAGGTTACTGTTATGATGTTATTGGGCTTGCATTAATGGCACAAATGATGATAATCTTTATAATTCTTAATAGGGAGAAACCTTCGACTGGCCGGAGAAGGTACCTTTTCGTCTGACACACAACATGGTAGATGCCATGGTGAGTTTATAGTATTGCATTTTTGTATTTGTATCCAAGTTTTTATTGTTTGAAATTGATAATGTGAAAGCCAACCACAGCTTTTCTTTACCACGTATGGTGTGGTACTGTGCTCTGGTACTCTGGCATGAAAAAAAAGATTTTATTGAATGTTTTGAAATGGTGGTATTGCAGGGAACGAACAAGCTAACTATATCACCAGTGATACCAGTGATACAGTTATATACTTTTGTATTTCTCTAAAGATGGGGTCCCAGAAATTTATAGATAGTGGAAAAAACATTTAGCTTTCTCAACACTTTTCAATGAGTTTCTGATCATAAGGTAGCATATACTGTACTGCTTTTGCTGGCAAGCATAGTATGCTTCTGTTATTGCTACATGCTTGTCCACCTCACGACCTACTGTACTCCTGACTTGCCCAGTCAGCAGAATGCCAGCACGCATATGTTGACACTTCTTTCTGCTTCTAGGGGGTCCTTCCGCCGCCGTGGCTTCAGCACTACTGCTTTCCCCAACCCTACCGCGTCACTGCAGTCGTCTGCTCTCATTGAGATGCATGCGTGGGCATGCACTTTGGAAAACGACAAAAAAATTGAGAAAAAAGGGTATTTATTGAGTGAAATAAGCAATAACTTCATACTGTAGTTCCTAGTGTCGTGTGTATGTGAAAAAAGGATCAAGGCAGTTTTTCTGAAGAGTGAGGCTACTCTTAAATTGTTGTTTGTCATGAACATGCAAAAATGTTATGTCGATATCAAATTACAGTGTAGACCACTTAAAATGTAGCCGTTTATAGTGCAGAACTGCTTACAATGCGGTCTTTTTTTACTCCCGTTTACCTTTCCCATAGGACACCATGTATATGCATACCGCTTATTGTGCCCTCCCCCAAAATGAAAGTCCTGTTATAATGCGGTTGCCGGAAATTGTTTGTAACAAACGTGGTAGCGAGTGCACTTCTGAAAGGAGGCACGCTTGGTGCGCCACTAGCGAGTGAATGACGAGGTCGTTATGAAGAAGGAGGAGGGGACATGGAGTGAACGAACGAAGGGCGGAGGGAAGAAAAAGAAAGTGATAAAAGACCGTGAGACAGCGCGCGGGCTCGCTGAGTAAGGGAGGAGGATGGTTGCGTCAGTGACCGATAAGTCTTTGCACCGGTGCCGTCGCGGCTAGAGCATACTACGTCGCTAGCGTGGCTTCGGCAATGCACTGCTCAACATGGCACCTGCAATCCCACAGGAAACTGTATGCGCTTAACAGTTTCCTGTGGGAAAAGACGTTGTCGTTATCGAGCTTGCAACAAATATCGCGTTTGCTTCCTCGTCCGTAAAGTGAAAACCTTTTACGGTTGTATGACACGAGCTTTCACTTTTGCTGCCAGTGCGCTGTCGTACACAAGCTTGGAGAGTTGTCATTGCTGCTTATCTCTAGACCGCGAACTTCGTATCACGCACGCTGTTCTTGGTTCACTGCTGGTGCAGTCTTTTTGACGCTGAATCTTTATGTTTTGGACAAACTTTCCGTGACAACATAACAAACGGCAAGCTAGGCCTAATCGGCATTGGTTGCACTTCGATCGGTAGCGGTCACATGAATCTAAGTTGCTTTGGTACCGAACGAAACTCTTTGCAGTGGCCGCACTTGACGGGAAGGGATACATGTCATTAATGAAAACGAGGGCGGCACGTGTAGCGCTCAAATAGTAGTTCGCGATTCGGTCACGATGTCTTAAATCGGGTGCGCGCCCATGAAATCTAATGGTTAGCGTCTTTCAACGCGTCGAATTCTGGACGTGATTTGACATAGTTCCTGTGTAATGTGCATATTCAAGGCGATCTTGTAGTCGGCGAATTTCCGCTATTGTGCTTTCATTTGTTAGGCATCCCCCTTTCCCCTTTCATTTCATTGGCGATTTGCGTGTTTTTGGACATTATATTTTTTAAACATTCAGAAATTTAAATGTTAGCAAGTACGCATCGCATGTTTCAATTCTCGAACACGCGAAGCTGCATGCTTAAGACGTTTTGCACTGGTGCGGCCCTTAAAAAAAGGTTGTTTTGGTTATTGTGCGGTACCGCTTATAGTGCGGATATTCACAACTCTCGCGACTTACATTATATGCAATCTGTACTATACATATGTGTTGTAGAAATAATGTGATGAATAAAATATTTAATTTTGGAAAATAACATTTTTAGAACTTGTTCCCCGACAGGTGGGGTAGGTGTTGGGGCAATTAATTTCTTTGGGAACAAAATGTTGGCTGAAACGCCGTGTAATAATTCCTGCTATTAGACGTGTTTCACTGATTTAAAAAAAATACAATTGAACTTACATGTACTGCTAAGAAGCATTCTGAAACAAACCGCTTGCACAGTGCACACTGTTGTGCACCCACGCATCTGCCAAAGCTCAGGTGGGGTAACCCTACTTGTCCCCCTTAGCGGTGAAGTCTGGAACGGGAGCTGGCGTAGGCAGCCTCGTCGAATGCCACTAGCTGTTCAGGTCAGGAATGCAGAAGGTCGTGATCCACCTTAACCTATGTATTTAATATTTATCCAACTTAATGTTCTTTTTAATACTTCCAGGGTCCTCTGGGGTACGAAGGTGTCTTCAGAAAAGCATGTGAAGTCACACTACGCATCATGAGGAATGAGACGGATGCACTGATGAGGTGAAAGCCAGACCAGATCATCTTGAGCAGTGTCCTTTATAAAATTGTCGTATAAGAAATTTCTATTTTTTATACGGGCACGTTTTACGGTTTCCGCAGTTCAATAATTGTGCTGTACAGAAACCTGGTTCGTCATTGCAGTTTTTTGTTGTTGTTTTATTCCAGCGTGCTGAAACCGTTTGTTCATGACCCTCTCGTTGAGTGGAGCAAAGCACCAAAAGGTGCAAGAAGTCATCAGTCAGAGTCGGGAGAGATCATCAATGAAAAGGCAAGATTGCATGAAAGAAGTGTGGCCTATAGTCACTCGACACGCTGTACCACTATCCTACCTCCACCCCTTCTTCTAACCTTGTGTGACATGTCTCTGTGGTATTTTGCTCTCAGAGAAGTGAATCGGTGTAAACCAGTAAGCCTGGCTTGGTCACCATGCCATAAGCAAATAGGCAAGAGGGCTGTTCTACTGGGGCACACCAAGTTGAAGAAAGAAGTGGAAGGACATTTTATTTGCTTGTTGCTTCATGAACAATTTTTATTAATTGCTTGCTTGTTTGCCTGCTTGTTGGTTTGTTTGTTTAGACATACCTTTTCATGGAAGGCCTGCAGCTAAGCTCATATTTACATATTTACCTGCGCCATTCTGTGCCGAATCACCCTTGCTGTGCCAAACTCATTTATGAGCGCAGTACTGCGCCGCAGCACCCGAATTTAGCCTCAAGGTGTGAAAGCTATCAAGCCCCGTGCCCAGAGGTGTATTTGCAAAATATCATCTTTTGGGTTTCATCAAAATGGTTATAGTTTCGGTTTTGTAAAGGCTGTGATCGCTCCAGCCGCAGCCATGAACTTTGATTCTAAGGGTGCAGTAACGATCGCTATGCACGCATGCCATCATGGCAGGTATGAGCATAAATGACTCGTGAACATTCCTATGTGCTGCACTCTAAACGCGAAGAAACCGTGAAAACAGCACCTCTTCTTAGCCCGGGTGTATCCTCTTACACCAACGTTTTGTAGAGTTGCCCAATATCGGATGCAAAAGTTGGCTGCCAGCCTTGCAATTTGTTGGTATTGCATTCATTGCTTTGCCCTCCCAGTGAAACGTGTGTGTGTGTGTGTGTGTACACACACACACACACACACACACACACACACACACACACACAGTGTATCAGAAAAGGAAATATCGATGACATGCAGTTATTGTGCTCAAAGAAGTGAGGATGGTGTCTGGTTTCTAGTCCAGTCTAGCAAACAAAGACAGGTGCACAGGACTGTTCATAGAGTGTACGCGCATATTCTCGTTCATTTGTGTTTGTGCCAAATTATACAGTGGTAATCGTTTCGACCATTGACGCTGTCACAATAAGGTTAAAAAAAGAGGAGGGAGGGGGGCCGGGTGTACATATCTAAAAAGTCACAGTTGTACCGCAAATAGTAAAAAATAAATTCGATTGCAAGAAATTGTAGTTATATGAAGTGACTCTGGTAACTAACTCGTTTTGATCCGATCTTGTGACTCTACAAAACACTGGTGTGCAAGAATACGGCACTCCAAGAGAGCAACACTCTTCGCAATCTCTTCATGATAAGAGTGCAGCATGGAGAAGTGTATGTGAGCTGATGGCTGCCAAGTTAGCATGAGCACCAGCATTTGCGACGACACCCTTACAGGCAAAGTTCACAGTTACTGCTCAAGTGGCACCTCCGCCCTCCTTCGCTTGGATGCATGCTCCTGTAGACCAGGCGGAGTGCTTCTTCTCTGTTTCGATTGCCAGCCTCCCAAGCAGGTGAGGGGGAGTCGGCAGGGGGGTGGGGGGGGGGGGGCAAGATGGTATTGCATGCGCCTTTCGAGCAACGGAGATGGGCCAGATTGTTGAACACAGTTGCACCACAAGGGCAAAGCAAGGCTGCAAACTTTTTGTTTTTAATTCAATTTCACGTAACTCGGGCTGGTGTACGAAAATAAGATCACTTCAGGGAGAGCAACACTTTTTTGTGCATTCTCTTCGCAAGGAGAGCAATCAGAGTGCAGCACGTATAAGCGTATGGGAGCTGCCCACTGATGGCTGCCAAGCTAGCTGTGCGTGCCAGTGGCCATGTCCGAAGCAAAGTTCTCATTTGTTGGTCGAGCAATACCCCTCCCTCCACCCTCCCTCACTTCTTTTCATGGTCTTTCGGAACAGGCAGAGTTTTCATCTCTGCTTCGACTACAGGCCTCCCTGGCAGAGGAATGTTATCGCATGCACCCTCCTAGCAATGAAGATAGGCCAGATCATTTGATCTCTGCCTCAGCTGCGTTTGTTGCCCCCCCCCTCCCCCTCGGGCGCTTTTACGTGCTGATGGAACATGCGATGCTATCAATTTGGACTGTATGCGGCACATGACAGCATCGGCAAAGATCCGCCGAGTGTCCATATAGTTCCCATTGTAATAATAGGGCTATCGCAAAATTCAGCTGAGTTTTGAAAAATGCAGCATTGGACAAATGTTGTTCCTGCTCTGAATGTTCTGGCTGCTCTAAACTCACTCATAAAGCCTCTTCTGGCTGCTCCAAGCCTCCTCCAAAACGTTTTTCTGGCTGCTCCAGGGCTGCTACAAAAAGCACTTTTGCCTGCTACCAGGACTGCTATGAAACCCATGTACCCAGAACATCTCATTGTTTATGTGCTGTGTAGCTATAATGAAACGAAGGTTCCACAAAACATCAGAGACGAAGAGTTAGACAGGGCACCCAAAGCAGTTGTAGTTGGGCCATCCCACGCAAATTTTAGAGACGAAGCTCCTTAGGGTGTGGGTCGTTCCCTTCTTCGTTTGTATGTAGCCAACTCTAGTTTATGAATTCCTCTCTAGATGGCATTGTGTGTATATGTCTTATCCTGGGTTTGACGTTTGGTAATGTGGTCTTGTGCATGAGATCAGAGGTTCAAGCAAGATTGCAAATTAAACAACGTGGCATAGGTAGACTTGCTTTAGGCACGCTGGAATACCTCAAATCAGGGGGTACAGGGTGATATGGGATGGGTATCGTTCAAGTGCAGGGAAGCTAGCAGCAAGAGAGAATTTGTGGAGCGTTTGAGAAAAATTGGAGAGGTGTGTTGGGCTAGGAAAGTTTCCAGCTTCTTGTACATGAAGAATGTCGATGCTAAATGGAGGAAGTCAACTCGAAAATTGTTAAGCAAGTATTTACACAACAGCAGAATACGAAGCCTAAAAGAAACATCGGTTAAGAAGAAAGTGAAGGAAACAGAGGGGAACATGTGGAAGATTGGAATGCTTACGAAATCATCACTGGAGACCTACTGAACTACTTTCAAGCAGGAAATTGCAAGGGAAAAGATCTACTATAATTCTCAGGGTAGTTCTCTGCTGTTCAAGGCCAAAAAGGGAGTATTGCGGACCAAGACGTACCGAGCCAAATAAGAAGGCACAGACACGTTATGTAATGTGTGTGGAGAGGAGGAGGAAATGGCTGAACATTTGATAATGTTCTTTAAAGGGCTCCACCCTATAGTCCAAAATAATGGCTGGAATTTTTCAAAGCATTGAGGTTTAGGGACAGTGAAGGCAAAATAACCATGAGGAGGCTAACTGATTGGTGGCTACAATCAAGGCGCGAGTGAAATTCATTCCTTAAACACATAGTGATATTACTTAACTTTGTGGTTAGGTGGTGTGAGCCGCCTCCTGATCTAAAGGGCACAGCCGGATACATCCATCCATCTATCCTTGGAAATGATGTCACTAGATGGAATTAGTGGTTTTTGTATATTTGAGGATTAAAGAGAATAGATGACGCTGTTATAGTAAGAAATTCACAGCATATCCACAGAGTGAATGATGATGAGTGGGACGTAGGGTCCATCCGTCCTTCCGATGTGTGCTCTAGGCTGATATGACCGGACGGATGGATGAACGCTTCCCTCCGCTTATCATCATTCACTCCATGAATATGCTGTGACTTTTTTTTTTTCTGTTGCTTTGCTTTGCAGTAATTTCAATTTATCATTGAAGCGTGCCAACTAGCCCGAATTTCTACCCTGATATGTAGCACATTTTTGTCCGATGTCAGCACTTTTTGTTATCTCAAACAGATTACATTGTAGATCTCGGTTATTATTTCAAACCTCAGCTTACCTTGATATGCTTTGACAGTACTTCACCTTCTGTACAATCCTCACCAGGCCCTGGTGAATGTGAATGGAATTGAGCAGAGACTAAAAGGTGTCTACCGAGGTCGCAACAAACCCGCTGGGCCACCTCTTTCTGTTGAGGGGCAAGTGGACAGCCTCATTCAGGTAGGACTCATCACTGGTTAAAACACGGTGATAACGAGGTATTCCTAAGGGCATAGTAATCCCTTGAGTGAGCATATAATTTCTTGCGAAACTTTAGATAAAATTTGCCTGAATTTTGTGTTAACTTTGGAAAGGAGTGTGGGAAAAATAAAAACTAGCTTGATTGGCTTATGGCAATTTATTTAGCATGATGTATATGCACTCTTATTGCCTCTTTTAGCATGACCTCATGCTGCAGTGTAGTACTACTGCAGTCAAGTTTCTCTTGGCTCGTAAGTCATGCTACGCCACGTTTTCTTTTAAGTGATGACGCTTCTGTGTGCTCAGCACTTGCTTATGTTATAAAGTCTAGCCAACAGGAGCCCATTTTTTGTGATAATGCTTGTACAGAGGATATTTTTTTATGGATGTGTGACATGGCACGCATATTTGGCCCCTTTGTGCAGCGTACTGTTGTACTTCGTTTGCGTGTAGTCAAATGCAGGCGCCCCACCGCAGTGGTCTAGTGGCTAAGGTAATTGGCTGCTGACCCGCAGGTCACGGGATTGAATCCCGGCTGCGGTGGCTTAATTTCAAATGGAGGCGGAAATGTTGTAGGCCCATGTGCTCAGATTTGGGTGCACGTTAGAGCCCCAGGTGGTCAAAATTTCCGAAGCCCTCCACTACGGTGTCTCTCATAATCATATGGTGGTTTTGGGATGTTAAACCCCACATACCAATAAATCAATCAGTCAAACGCGGGCTGACTACAGTATACTATCTTGCTATTTTTTCGCCCTTGGATTCTGCTCATATCTTGGGAAATGTTTTTGATTTATGCTACCTTCCGCTTTTCTTTTTCTTCCTTCTAGCATTAAAACTTCATGCAATCTTTAAGTTCAAAGTGTAAGGCTGTATCCATGGAAATATGGTATGTGGTAGCGAAATGACGTAGCATGAGTGCATGTCTATATTGTACGACCCTGTAATGAAGCGGCAGCTATGTAATGGTGACTACTGTGGCAGCTACTTGTGCTGTATAATTCAGGGTATTCATTGCCTTGTGCCTGCAGAATGCTTTTTTTTTTTCATCTGCTCATAGAAACCAGTGTTTGAATTCATTCTCATCTGCTTTTTTTTTTCTTAATTTTTTTTCCTCTTCTTTTTAATACTGACGCAGGAAGCAACCAGCGAGGTCAACCTGTGCCAGATGTATGTTGGATGGGGTGCCTACCTCTGATGGCCTTCTCACTGCAAGTTTAGTAGGCTTGACATCTCTTCACTCCAGAGTTTGGGCATTCTTTCAGTACTGTACATATTAACATGTCCTAGACTATGAATTTCTCAGCGTGTTTTTTTTTTTTTTAATGCATGCAAAAACATCTTGTAGTGTAACTCATTAGTCCATTCCATCTATTCATTGCAGCTGCCTTATTTACTGTCCAGCAGGGAGCCTACCCTACTACATGAACTTAGATTGATTCTGTGATCCCATTGTTTTGGTCACTAGTACTGTGTCATTAACAAAACAGCAGCATTTTGCACAGCTCAGATGTATTTATTAACTACGTTAAGGCATTTTGAGTCACAATAAGAAGTACAATGACATGTCTTTTTGTACCACAAAGCAACATATCTGTGCTCAGGGACTGCGAGTAAATTGATTTCAAGGGGAACAAACGGTGATAACCTATGTTGTTCTATCCAAATGTTATTATTTGTTGAGTGTTTTTTACTGTTGGTACAGCCATTAAATTTTATGAAGCTTCTCTCGTGGATTGCAATGTTTTCCATGGACAAACCTTACTATTGTCTTGCTCGCAGGCACACAATTCAACTTCAACATACAATACTTCAACTAAACACAAAGAAGTGCCATTTCGGCAACACAGCTATAAATGTTCTGGGACATCTTGTTAGTAAAGAAGTCATCCAGCCCGATCCGGACAAAGTTTCCGTAGTCCTCAATTTTCTGCCCCCCTTTTGTTCCAAAGAACTACGCAGTTTCCTTGGACTCGCATTGTACTTTCGCCGCTTCATTGTTAACTTTGCCACCATTGCCGCTCCTCTCCAGAAGCTCCTTGCTAGTATCAGTTCCTTTGATTGGAATGATCAATGCGAAGCCTCATTTCAAGAACTCAAACACGCACTGACATTCCCACCGGTGCTTTGGTATTTTGATGACAAGGCACCTACATTATTACACACTGATGCTAGTTGACAAGGAATCGGCGCCATACTCCTCGAGCGCGACCATGCCTTTCGCGAGAAAGTTGTCGCATATACAAGCTGCACTCTGACCTCTGCAGAGAAGAGGTACTCGATAACCGAACAAGAGTGCTTGGCTGTTGTCTGGTCCATCCAAAAATTTCGTCCGTATCTACATGGTTGACATTTTACTGTTGTGACAGAACACCATGCTCTTTGCTGGTTGTCCACAATCAAAAACTTGTCGGGGCGTCTTGGCCGCTGGATTCTCCGGTTAAAATCATATGACTTTGACGTCATCTACAAGACCAAAAGACAACACCAAGATGCCGACGCTTTATCACGATGCCCTTTGCCACAGTCTTCGGCGCACGTCACATTTTCTTGTCAAATTGGCTATGCGGAGGACGCCTCGTCGATATCATCTATTTCTTCTCTACCTTCATCCACCCGTCCGTCAGTACTTACCACTCACCAGCGAGCCGATTCTTATTGCATTGACCTCATCGGTCGGCTTTCCATTGCCTCATCTTCCCCAAATGCCAGGCTGCTGAAATAACTCCGGCTACTCAAGTTGGAGGACGATGTGCTCTATCGATACATTTTTCATCCTGAAGGCCGTCGATAGGTTCCCGTCGTACCACGCACACTACGCACTGAAGTTCTGCGCGCTTCACACGATGACCCGAGGTCAGGCCACTTGGGTTACTACAAAACCTACGAGCGCATCCGCAGTCTATTCTTCTGGCCAGGTCTTTCCACGACGGTAGCCAAGTATATTGCCTCGTGCGCACTTTGCCAACATCGCAAGCGGCCCACTACTGCTCCAGTCGGGACCCTGCAACCACTTTTTTGCCCAGCAGAGCCGTTCTCTGTCGTCGGAATTGACCTCTTCGGGCCCCTTCCAACTACATCAGACAGCAAGAGATGGATCGTCACCGATTCTTTGATCTGAAAAGCTCCTTAACTCTACTTGGAAGTTCGCCAGCAACGCTTTAAGGCAATTGCGGTGCCGACAGCCCTCCTTGGTGTTGCTTTCACACAATTGGGTAAAACTGTGGTTGGCCACCTTAATATTGACATTTTGTACTTTTTCGGAATATAAAAGGCAGGTAGAATAAGTTTTTCGAACGCACGTTGTCATGTTAGTTCTCTCTACCGCCTCGTGAGCTAGGTGCTGGTGGCCTCCATGATTAATTTTGGCAATGCATCGCCGGAGGTAATCTCGGAGGCCACTATTCATTTTTTCCAATATGTTCGCACGTGCTGCTAGGCCCTCAGCCAACAACATTCATGCTGCCACTCATGAGCATCAACTCATTCGTCAAGCTCAGTACAAACAGATGCATATCTGCACATTTTAAGTTACAAAAGATTATGATAAAAAGTATGCTGCACTTCAGTGCTAATATAAAGACCATTAAGAGTTCACCAGTAAAAGGTCACAGGATAGGTATATGTACACATTTTCTTTTTTGTGCCAGAGGTGGCAAAAGTAATTTTGAGCGCAGAAATGAAAATATACACACACACACACACACACACACACACACACACACACACACACACATATATATATATATATATATATATATATATATATATATATATATATATATATATATATATATATATATATATGTTGTCTCTTAGATCCCATTATTATCGTGTAAAACACCGAAAAACGAGCCCTTAAGTATACACTTCTTTCTTTAATTCATTAACGAGGGTCTCGTACTGGCAGACTTAGTGCCTTTAGGTTGTATACGAGGGACTATTGGTCAGCTGCCCACTCGTAATAAGTTCATGTGCTACGTGACGCCAAATAGGCTCAAAAGAATGTGCTACACTCGCCGCCATGGCTACTGGTGGCGCTGACTGACATTCCCACATTTAATTCACATATAAACCCAATAAAGTGGCTGGGGGGACAGCTGTCGTGGTAGCTCAGTGGTAGAGCATCGAACGCGTCATTTGAAGGTCGCAGGTTCGGATCCTGCCCACGGCAAGTTATCTTTTCACTCACTTTTCTTTATATTTACATTACAATTCGGTCTAACATCTTCCCCTATACTTTCCTTGGCATTATTGTCTGTTAGATCTCATTATTATTGTGTAAAACACAGAAAAACGAGCCCTTAAGTATACACTTCTTCCCTTAATATATATATATATATATATATATATATATATATATATATATATATATATATATATATATATATATATATATATATATATATATATATATATATATATATATATATATATATATATATAGAGAGAGAGAGAGAGAGAGAGAGAGAGAGAGAGGGGGGGGGGAGAGAGAGAATATTTTTGCTTCATATGAAAAATGGGATTTGTTTTAGACCATACAATAGGCAATCCTTCTATTAGTAGTGTTATCTCGATTCATGTTCTGAGTAGTTGTCAGTCTCTTCAAAAAATGCACTGCCTCTTCTTACCCTGTCCCCTTCTTACCTTCTTTTTTTTTTTTGCCGTGCTGCTTATGGGCACCTTTTGTATGCGCTGCTCTTCTGGAGGATAAAAACGACACATTTAATTTGGAAACATTTAGTTATTATGTCCTTGGAAGCACCTTCATTTGTAGTTTGACCTAGGCAAGTCTGTCGAAAACTACTTAGTTGAATCAAGGTGACTTGCTGCTAAATTATTAGGCTGATGTACATATTAGCATATATTTATTTTGATTAATCCAAGATTTCTTGTTAGCAAGTTTCCTATTAATTTAATCTCACCTTATTGTCCACTCCTTCCAAGTGTATGTGAGCCATTCTTCGAGGCCAACATTACTATTTGCAGTGAATGTTTTATGCTGCTCCATTTAAGGCCTGCCCCCATTGAGCCACACCATCAGCATCCAATCACCTTATCTGCATCAATATGCAAGAATATGGGAAATGAATGCAGGTTGCGATTTACAAATTCATAGTTGCTCATGTGACTCTATACGAATAAAACAAACTCTCCTGGCACTTTTAGTCTGAAGTTATTAATAATAAAACTAAAAACTGGCCCTACATTTTGAGACCCATTTGGTCTTCTTCAGGAGATGACTGTCCAGCTGGCTCCGAAGCTAGCGAGATTTCTTAGTGGTATCTTCCTCTCCAGCGTTCCTGAAAAAGAGACCAAATCAGTCTCGAAACGTAGGGCCAGTTTTTGTAGCTGGAGAGTTTGCTTTATTCGTGTAATTTTTATCCAGCCAGACAGATCCTTGTCAAATGTGTTTACCGTTAAATTGTATGACACTGTATGGGATCTGTCTCGAGTATTTCACCAAGTTATGCATTATGGCTCGTTCACACCTGCAGCTATAGCATCGTTCGCATGACCTCGGTAGTCTCAAATGGTCACTTTGGCTGTCACTCGCTGCTCAGTTTTCAGCCGCACAACTGCAGTTGCAAACCTCTTAACTAATCAGTTGCACAGGAGTCAGATGTAAGCTTATGTTGGGGAGCAACATTAATGCGAGCCAATGCCTCCTTCGAAAATATGCCTGTCAACTTTACCAAAAATCTTTCTTAACTTTGCTTTTTCCTTTTTCGTCACTTCTAATGTAAGCGGTAACGAGTGAGCCTTCTGGTGGCTACTTTACAAGCACATGTGCACTCGCGAGCGTCGTCGACAGAGGGGGGGGGGGGTTGCAAAGATGTCACCTGTCCTCCAGTAGCCGCGAAAAAGAGTCTTCAATACTCGCTGTCATGGCTACTAACGATGCTGGCTGATGCTATGGTTAAAAGCCATAAAGTGGACGGGGGATAGCCGCTGCAGTAGCTGAGTTCGTACTGCATCGAACGCGCTATTCCAAAGTTGCAGGTTCAGCCCCTGCCCACAGCAAGTTATCTTTTCGCCAACTTTTGTTTCTTCACATTTACATTACATTTACTTCTAATAACATCCCCTATACTTTCCTTGGCTTTATTGTCTGTTACTTTTAATTGATATTGTGTCTAACAGAGAAAACAAGTTCACAAATTTCCAGTTGAGACGAAGTGATTTGACAAAAAGTTTCTAGCGAGCGCCTCCTGTTGACATGTAGCAGGGGGAGGGGATTCTTGCATTGACGTCATAAGGCCGCTACATATGTATATATATATATATTTTTTTATTAACAGAACTTCTGCCTCCCTCAAGTCTTACCACCCCTCTCCCCACGCCTATCTGTGGTGCAACACGGGTTTGCACTCCCCCCCAAGACAATGTCCAAGATTTTGGTGCCATCTCAAAGCAGGGCAGCTACAATGGGCTTACAATCAACGATGACGCAGTCATCCTTCTGGAGCAAGTATTGTGTGAGCAGATAATGATGACAATAGGAAGCTATTCCCTTTGGAGCGGGTGGCCAGGGATACTGTGGCCTAGCCGGCTAAGGAAAAAAAAAGCAAGAAAAATATTTGGATGGATAGAGAAGCACACACTTGCTTTCTAGAAGTGTTGTGACTGTCCGGTGTGACCTCGGTAATTACATTCTTTGTGGCAAAGCGTGCGATCGAATAGTGTGGTAACATCGACAGTCGCATTTTGGTCGCCATTGGCAAGTAATCGCGCGACCAGTGTAAACCTCTGCTTAGCGCAGCTCAAAGGGTGGCAGTTGGGCGATCTCTGTCCTCAGGGCGACGGCCACGGTTCCGAGGGCGGCCTCGGCAAGCGACCACTTGAACATGTTGGTGACGAGGTTAACTAGCGCCTCCAGCAAGAAGTCAAATGTGCCCAGGCCACCCAGGTTGAGCCACACCTGGCCGATGTCACGCAGCTCGAGGGCCTCAAGCCGCATGGGTCCCAGCACAGTGGGGCTGTGCCCGTCTTGCAAGGGCAGCGCTAGCCGCAGGTGCAGCGACAGGCCCTGCACGCCGAGCGAGGCGTCGCCCGAGGGGCCCGCCCCCAGCAGCTGCGCCCACCAGCGCCACTGACCCGTCAGGTTCGAGAAGCCCACGTCAGCCTCGAGCAGGAGCGTGCCGTCCTGCATGTGTAGTGTCACAGTCTGCCACAAGTATCGCACCAGAAAGGCAAATAATTGATACTAATAAGTCAGTTAATTCTAGCATTCGATAGCTAACTAGCTCAACAAACAGGTCTCAGTCGACGGCTCCAAAGCACTTGCTGTCACACTTTACTGTAACCGTTTCCTGATGCATTCACCTAAGACGAGTCGAAATTCTCTTTCCTCTTTTCAGTCGATGTGTCCTGCCCCTGCGGAAGCTTTCTGCACGTAATACTGTGGCATACTGAAAGCTTTATCCACCTCGCCCACACTTTTTATTGCCTCTGTCAACATTTACCCAAGCGGCGATGTCGTGGAATCCACGTGATGATTTGATGATTTTTGCATCACTGGCGTATGACGGCGGTCAGTTTTCGCCGCATATAATCAAAGTATTTCGCCTTGATGATTTGCGCCAGTAGTGCGCCGATCCTTAAGTCGAATGTGCCACCCGCGCCTATCCGGTCACTTGCAACGCTGTATGGGCTAGCGTAGTGTGACTTCTTGCAGTCGATGCATTCGCAACGAAAATAGTGCAGTATTCTTACAGCCAATAACAGCATTTTTTATTCCTTGTATTACAGCGAGAATCAATTGAAGATCTTTTGTGCCTTACGAACAAAATACCATTAAACTTATGTTAATATGTGGCTGTATAACTGTTTCCGCGTGACGTCACGTACAGGCTCTGTGCTGGGTACATCACGATGGCATCCACCTGGTTCTTATGAGACAGTGTCACTGCAGACGAGGACACCAGATTTATTCGGTTGCTGCATCCTTTTGTGCTCTCTTCGCTTCTTTCTGTTTGCCAGTCCCACAAAGGGGAAGCACAAAGAAATGCGAGGGTGCACCGGCACTAATCAGGTGTCACGTGAGCGACCACGAGATGCGTGGAGTTATACGTTTTGCTGGCCGAACTACTTTCACTGCTTCCACAGCGTTGCACCTGATGTGAGAAACGTATTACAGGCATCGCTTATAGATATCTGGGGCTTAATGTACCAAAACCACGATATATGATCATGAGGGGGGCCACAGTGGAAGGCTCTGGAAGTTTCGGTCATCTGCCTGGTGTTCTTAAACATCCACTGACATCACACGCTGCACGAGCCTCTACCATTTCGCCTCCATTGAAATGCTGACTTGTCATGCAGCGCGCGGGTCGCTCGATCGTTCTCGCACGTGGGTGTTGTTCGGGATAGCACAGCGACAACGCGCCTGGTTTGACCTAATACAAATTGATACTGAATAATCACAGACAGTTTTCAGAAAAAGAAATTCCCCTTGTGTGCGAGCAACAGCTTTGCAGTTTTCATGAGAGTGATACAAACCACAGATCGCCTTCTCAAGCTTGTTAAGCAGCAAATTGCGATACCAAGCTTGCTTCACCGTGCAGTCTGAGTGTATTCGTTTTCTTAACTCCCTTGTGACAATGTCAGCTACACATGTACAGTTATATATAAAGGGACACTAAAGGCAAATGACAGTTTACGTCAGAGTGAAAGCTCAATGCATGACAATGTCTAAAACGACATTATTATCAACAGCAGTATACTTAGCAAGAAATTAAGCTAAATGTATCACACAACGTGTACCACTAGTGGGACATTTGCGAAATGATCCGGATAACATGAGAGCGCCTGACTTCAATTAATCACTTTTTCCTCGCGTGTCAGCAAAAATCGCCGACAAATCTTCAGGCCGCACTGAAGGCAAGTATTTTTTTTTTCTGTTACTGCTTTTATTTTGGTCCAATTGGCAAGAAAAAGCATGGCAACTGTTGAATTTTTGTTATATAGATCATTGCAAGGAGGTATTATTTGGTCTGTGACAGAGGCATTCTAGCTTTCCCCCTTTCTGGGGACGCGTATGTGGATGAAAACTGGACTAGTTATTGTCGTTAAATCATATTGCCCTCCTATCGTTAAAGATTGTTTTACTGTTTTGTCGCATATTGATATTTATTAGGTGGTCAACCAAATGCCACTTACGCTCTAGATAATCAAGACTGCTGATCGTGCAACTTATTAATGTGATAAGTAATTTTGCCAGAATATTGTGAAAGGCTACGATTAGCCGACCTACATTAACTCCCTACGTCCTTCAGAGTGAAAGTGCTTGAGTTATCGTCATCTTCTTTTTTCGTCATCTGTATTTTCATTATGTTTTGGTAGCACAATGGCAATATCAGTATCGTGTTCATTTACAGTTATCTCTGCTGCATCCGAATCAAAGGATTGCACATGCGGCCGAATGGTGTCTTTCAGGAAACCAAGTATTCATGGAGGTAGACTACTGCATAAAACTCACAGTGTTTCATACCAGATGCACAGAACTCCGATAGCATGCAGTGTTCTTCTCCGACAAGCAAAAGATCTCGATGTTCGTTGTTACATGCCCCAACTCATCCACTGAACACCCTAGAACTTACAGTGCGAATGGGCGGCCATAAGTGACCAAAGCGCACCTGTAGCCAGCCCATGGTCGTCGAGAGCCGGTCACATTCAGTCTAGAAGCAGTCTAGACCACGGTGGTCTAGACTTCCTCTCTGTCTCCTGCTTCTGTGGTGTAGTTGGAAAGGTAAGTAGTTGGAAAGGGAAACAGGGGAAGCCTCGCGGGCGAGTGCAATAGATAGAGAGTGAGAGGCGAGAGCGCAGCTTTCGCGCAAAACTTGACAGCGTCGGCACATTGCGAGAAGAGAGTAAGACAGTTGGTGATGCTGAGTGCCAAGTTTGGTCGGCTCATCGACCGTTCCTGTCCAGCGGGAGTTATTTCTAAGTAACGCGCTCATGCTGTGGCATTCGCCTGGTTACCTTGCGTGCATGTGTCGCTGGCATTCTGCGTAAAGGAGAGAAAATTGTGGAGTGGAAGTCAAAACGAATGTTTGATTGAATAGTAGCGATTTATTCATCAAGTTGCCGACTGGTTACGGTTTATACAATTGATACTATGTCAATGCTGTACTTTTTCTCTGCTAGAGAAAGTGACGTCAGGTCTTGTTTCTTCCATTTAATTTCAGAAATAAGTCATACTGCTGCATGCCCTTCTGCACGGCGGGAAAAAAAAAACCTGGGCATGAGACGCCAGCATGCACAGTGGTGGCGTCAACGGCGGCGCAGTGGCGGCGTCAAATGCTGCCGAGCGGTAGTCGATGCTGCCGAGAACACGCGAGGCAAATATTATAACGCAGCACACGGCCTGTAATTCACAATAAATTTTCAAAGCTAGAAGCTGCTTTCTTCCCTCGGCAAATGACACTACAAGCTCAAAAATCACTTGTCACAGCCGAGAAAGAATATATGGCTTTGGTCACAGCCATTAGCTGATTTGAGCATGGCGCGCTCGTCGTTACTGAGGCCTTCACAGGAGGCCGCCGCTTGTCCACGAGTATGTGCACGATCGCACTGAAAAGCCGCGTATTCAAGAGAGAGAGAAAAAAAAAAAAAGAGGTGTTCAATCGTAAAACAAAGTAAAGTACGGGAAAGCAGCAGGCAACTGAGGTGCCACCGAAGAAAAATAAAAATCGCAAAGTGCAAGATGGGTATGCCGCCGTTGTAGTTCAGCACGACGCATACCATGGCATAGAGTCGTGGTATGCGAATAATAGAGAAAAACTTCGGAGCAACATAGTCTATATAAAGACCGAACTATAGTAGGTGCATTGCTTATAGATGTATCATGCTTGTAATCAGCCAAGTCTTTTTAAATTACTGCTTTATTGCTAAATTCTAGGGCCTTCAAAAAGTTTCAAAACCTGCATGTCGACAAAATTGTGCTATATTTTAGAAAAAAAGACGTAATTTCATTCCCATTTCATTCCTTCGAGCTTTGTCCCTATTTCATTCCGGGGTCGCGAAAATTGTGGGGTCTCGAAGTGGTGAGCGCCATGCTGTTGGAAGGCACGGACACAGTAGACATAGTCGGAACAAACCAAGCAACCGAAATTTATTTAACTAGATTTAGAAGTACGATATTGTCAGGTGAATTATTATAACATCAATTGGGATCAACGCACTAAAACAGCCTTACGCAATATTGCGCAACACTCAACAACAAAACATTCACAAGAACCCTGGCAAGGTAGCTTCGCCAACTCGACTTACCATGGGGGCCCACCGCAGACAGCCCGCAGTGCTGTCTGCAGCAGACCCGCCTCTAGAGACAACTGTTCGCGCCAACCGCCACCAGCCAAAGAGACCTGCTTCTCTCTCTGCGCCGCCACCCAGGCTTCTTGCCAGGCGTCACCACCGGCGCTACCGTTCTAACAACCATGATGATGATGGTGGTGGTGATAAACGCTCGCGAGCACAAAGCCGCCTACCGCTCAATAGTTGTGACTCCTCAAATGCGGCTTATGTGCAAGACCGGTGCGCCACGCGGCGCAAACAACTTTACTGGGGATGTAAGCGTCTCCATATTTTTTTAACCTTAATTTAAACCATATACTGAAAAAAAAAATATTAGTTACACTATCTCTAACGAAAGATGACAACACACGTCCCTAAAGAATGTCCGTGTACCACGAAACCGCCTCCAGTCGACAGTGCTGCACTGTCCCGCTCGACGACTTTACCTCAGTACCGATCCCGCAACGGCAACGTCGCCGTCAGCGCGAGGAACCATCACTCGCGCCAACACGTCTTCTGGTTGCAGCCGGCACTCACGAGGGCGCCAGGCTGCAGGCAGTTGTGCATGTCCCAGGCATGTCCATCGCCTGATCTCACGACTGCATTCTTGGCCAACGGCGAAGACGATGTACAGAAGACAGCCAGCTGCGAATTACATCACTCTCGCTGCGTACATTCAAAACACTCGAAAGAACAATGCAGTAGGGCAAGGGGAAGGAAGCTTTGGGCTCCTCGTCCATGTGGTACGATGGTCAGTACTAGCTAATGAGCTAATACATCAACGGCGGCCGAGACGCCCGACTAAAATAAAACAAGTCGCTTTTCCTCACTCGTGCCTCGCAAAAAAAA